TCATGTTGTTATATTACTAATGACCACACAAGTCATCTTTTAAACTAAAACTCTTCACTCTGTTTTATACATCTTGTTAATGTGGCAAACAAAAATTAATTTATGTTTTTATATTTAATTAGTATTATGTAAACAAAAGAAAATTTATTTAAAATGGACATGACCTTAATAATCAATAAATAAATGGATACCAATATACTTTGATACTTAATATTCTATAAAAAATAATGTGCACTAAATCCTCTCACAAATGTATTAAAAATAGTTTATCTTCAGTGAACTTTAATTTAAAAAAAAAAAACATCATTAATAATCATTAATTATATCATTATTAAATTCATAGAATGAGAGTAATTAAATATCTAGGAGTCTTGTATTTGGAAAATACAATATACGAAATAGTTGTTGTAAGAAAACATAATTCTTTTAGTGATGAATGAGAACAATTTGCTTAAAGTGTACTTCACTAGCTCCATTTGTCCATTATTGACCAGCACAGAAAAATGAATCATTTGAAGATAACCTACATTGCAAATTTCTAGAGATAATCCCACTACACAATCAGAATTTTATGCTAAATTCATAGATCCAGCCAGTTGGTTCATATATTATGCAGATTAAAATTTCAGCACAAGAGGTTATACATAAGTGCTTGAAGGAATTGGTTAGAAATGTCTACTTTTTTGTCAAAAGAAAGGGTAATTTCTGTGGGAAGTTTTGTAAATATGAAGGATATAGAAATGGTTTCATTAATAAGTTCAGTTTTGGTTGCCTGAGAGGAAATGATTCTTTGCTGAGAAGAGAATATAAAGAGCTGCTACTTATGCCAGGAGAGAAAAAAATGGTCTCTACCCTTTCCCTGAGACCATAACTTGTTCGCTCTTCTGCGTCCAGGTTGTGACCTCAGGAACTGGGTGGAGAAAAAAAATCATCAATAATAGAGATGCAATGTGGATGTCCACTCAGTACAAGAGCATAGTACTGCATTATGTAAGTATAAATGAGAATTTAGGAAGTCTTTAATTAGATCCAGCAAGATGTTAATGGATAAATACTGCAACAGAACAGGTGTCAACAGTAGGAATTGATTGATTGTTTCATCCCTTGTTACGAGGGAAGCCTTATCCTGAAGGCTTTGGATCAGGGCTTTCACTTCAAAAAAACTTCTGTTAGTCATTCTACGCGCACATTAAAGTATTTATCGGGTGGTTATTTCCAATAAAAGTATGGCAATTTTGGTATATATGGAAAGTAGAGATATCCAATCTTACTAGAAAAATACTGGATTCCCCGAAAAACATTCATGGAGCGTATACAGTACAAAAATGTAAAGGTTCCCCTAATCAACAGCCCGACGATTAGGAACTTCTGCACGCGTGATGTCAAAGGTCACAAGTGAACATTGAGCGCTTGATGTACAAGTTGATAAACTTTATGAAGAGTTAGACGTACAATACTTTCTGAGATAAAAATGACGGAAAAAGACGCGGGTAGTGGATAATCCGAGAATTTAATTAGGATTCGATATTTGTAATAAATAGTAAGCGATAAAAGACAACATCATCTTATGTATGCAATGAATTCTCCTCTGACTGCCAAGACCTGGTTTGATCAAATTTTAATAGCAGGGCATTCCTTCGCAATTACAATGTTTGAGAAGGATTTGAAGCATAATTATGACAAATTAATTAGTTTGAATATGTTTTTGGTCCATATATACCATTAAATAACCCAGTTTGTACGCGGGAACCCATCTTTAAAGATCAAAAGTTCTTGAATGAAACTATTTTTGGTAAGACTTTCCATTCTAGAATAATAGCCCCTCCTTTTTACGCAACATGGGAAATATGTAGGAAGTTTGTAGACCATCCAGGATGAGGATAGCCCTATGGATTTTCCTGTTTAACTGTCCATCTTGCAAAATGTTTTTTTTATAAACAATGTCTTATAATACTTTGTCAGTATAATTTTCCTCAAAAAAAATGTATATATTGGACTGCAGGTGCTGGATGTGTGGAACAGGTCCCTGTTTTCCATTTGATTTTTATGTGGTGCGGTTCTCCAGCACTCACTATTAGATATGACCTTGGAGGTAATTGGGCAGTTAGGGCACCAGAATCAATGAGAGCCACATTTGGATGATGAAAGACCCTAGGCTATTCCACATATGAGATCCGTCTCAATTCCCCACCCTCACTAGGGGAAGAGAAACAAGAAGGGATATCTACCAGTGTATACTCCTCCCTCAGATAACTACACACATAACCATAAATAAAAAATATGACTTATTGTTAAACCTTAGTTCATTGGATAAGTCACATATTTTTCTGCTTTGAAGTCCAGACAAATATATGAAATATAGCATGGTACAGTTTGTAATAAAAGAATAATTTACTAATTCACAGTTCTCTATGGCTAAAGGACATGTATGACATGTTCAAAGATTTCGTGGGATTGTTCATTATGTCCAATCTGATTAAAACACAGATCTTATTTCTTTTCATTTTTTATAGTACAAAATTTCATTTTACTTGACTTCACAACACTAGGATCTGGAAGAGTTGTTATATAACAGACGTTCTAGTTGATGTGAGGAATTAGCCAATGAAACGGTCTGTTACGGCGAGTTCTTGGCGTGCTCTGCAAGGAACTGTGGGTAAACACCTAGAAACATCAATGCTGATTGATGAATCAATGTCTGATGTCATAAGGTCAAAAGCCGCTCGTATGACCCTGACATGACCTCCCAGTACAATTGGTCAGATCTTCATGTAGTGTAGGCCATTGAAAGTATAAAAAAACAAAACGAAATACAGATCTGTATTTTAATCAGATCAAATTTCAACGGTTTCTGATGATTACTTCTGGAGTTATTTTCCTTTGCTTACACAGATCTGTGAATGTTGTAGCAACAAAAGTTATCATCTGATTAGACAAGAAACCTTATCTGCCGACCATGCATGTTTCGAGATAAAGAGATGGTAGGATATACTTTTTTCTGGCTAAGTATGATGCAATTGAGATATTACTTATTAAGCAAAACTGTCAATTATTTTTTCAAAACAACCATTGATTATTGTTATAACATTGCTGCCACATCCAACTACAATCAAGCATGCAATCCTACCTGACAGGGGTACAAACCATCTCTTTTAAATCTAAGCGAAAGTAGCTGGCTTTTCCAAACATTTTAAAATGGAATAGGTTTGACAAGGCAGGGCTAAATATATGTTATGTACAACAGTCAATCAAAATATGTGAGAAGTACAGAACCTACACCAGTCGCCCATGATTAATGCACCTAATTATCAATGTCCATATCAATTCTGAAAAAAACACAGCGTGATTAACTTCACTGACAATATTTGAAGATAAATGAAAGTTGCTTCACTACATTGGGCTGGGTATGTTTAATTAGTCCTAATATTATAAAATTATATTATAAAAGATGTTACATGCATTAAAGATGCATTCCCACAAAAGTCTGTATCAGGTGGTTATTTCCAATTAAAGTATGATAATGTTGGTATATGTGGAATGTATATTACTAGCCAATATTACTAGAAAAATGGGAGATTCCCGGAAAAACATCCATGGAGTTCCCACTCGACAAAAACGAGAGCATGTCAACGAGAGCATGTCGCTAATTGTCAGCCTGCTTGAGTGACATCAAAAGTTGCATGCGTAGACTGTCTGACCCCTTTTCATTAGGGAGCACTTAATGTATATGTTCATAAACATGATAGTGAGCAGACATGGAAAAGTGAGAGATTTAAATGTACAGCAGATTCTAAGACGAAAAGAAGTGGGCAGGGGATAATCCCAGAATTTAGTGGCTTTAATATTTATGGTAAATGGACACGATTAAAGACATCATTCTCCTCCATCTTGGCAGTCTCTGCTACTACGAAGTTACGTGACACAAACATAACTTCTTTAAATAGATTATTTATAGCTTGGGGTATTTCCTCATGAATACAATGTTTTGAGAGCCATTTGAAGCAATTTATTAATAGATTAATTGGGGGATCACGTGGCTAAGTGGGTAAGACGCTGGCTCGCTAGCCTGGAGGTCGGGTGTTCGATCCCTGCATTGGCCGAGAAAGTTCATCCAGATTTTCCAGCGTGGTTTCCCCTTGTCAGTGATGCAGGACGGAGGGCTTGACAAGGACAGCTGTCTAGTCATTCAGATGGGACGAAAAACCGAGGTGCCGTGTACATATTGGCGTGCATGTAAAAGATCCCTTGGCAGTTGGAATTTAATATAAGAGTAGGCCGTAGCGCCGCTGCCCGGGCAAAATTTCCCTCATAGCACACTGTATGGCGTATGCCCGTCTTCATTAGCCCAGTTTAGGAGTAGGACATTAAACCCCATTTCATTGAATATGTTTTTAGTCAAAATATGTCATCAAATCACCCAATTTATACATCAATGTTTTTAGCTATGTTCTCCTTCTGGTACTATTTGGTGTAGGCGTTGATTTGGTGAATACCTTGACTAAGTTTGATTATTAGTGCTTTTTCGGCTCAGCGTAAGGAAAGCATTAAGCAATTTGATTGGTCGAGACTTTGGAGCTCGACAACTTTGATTCTAATTGAGTGATAGTGGTGAAACTTCATGTATAGTTTTATTACATCAATACCATAACAAGGTTTGATGCTGAGCATTTTCTACTTAAAGTTGACAACTGGAACACAATAACTCTTCTTCTAATTGAGGTAGAATGTTCAAAATTGGTGTAGGTGTCTATTACGTGAATGCCTTGACATCGTTCATGTGCATTTTTCACTAAGGATAAACAGAGATGAGTAATTTGATTGGTTGAGACTTTGGAACACATAACTTTGGTTCTAATTGATAACTTTGGTTCTAATTGCGATGAAAAAGATAAATGTGCAATTAATTAATATGCGTCATCTGTTTTGGGGGGATTTTGGCAGGTGACATCAGCCTCACTGTTGGCTGTTGGAATTGTTCAATGGGAAGATTGTAAGGAGTATTTTTTTTTTATGACAAAATATTTATTATCACAATTGCCTGGGTGGTACAATAACAAATAATTATATTTTAAAAAGCACACTGCACCAAACTATAAGAACAATATATATAGTGGACGGATTATACTTAATCTACATAAAAACATATGATGCTTGAACATGAGTTTTATACATTATGCTAATGAATTAGATACAACAAAATTACATTATGATAAACTTCAGATTTGGTCATTGTAATTACAATATTCTCCCATTGGCTACTACACTACAACCAATATCCCCACCTCTTGGCATTTTTGAATTACATGCACAATAACAAGTATGTCATTAATAAAGTAAAAGAAGAGTATATAATCGAAACATCAAATGCACCATTCAAAGAAAATTCTTATGGTGTCATCAAATAGATTCCTGATACTTTGATTCAACAGGACCAGCTAAATAAGTGTTGTTATTGGCTGGTTTTAAATTCCAATTAAAGATATATAACAAGATGAAGCAATTGGTTAGTGCCCAGTAGCAAGTTTGTGTATGACAATGCTACAATATATCCATGTGTTAAGATGAAAGAAAACCAGTACATATCTCCAAAATATATAACTTGGTACAGCACTATTTGAAAGTTTTTAATGTATCATAAATATCATTGGGGTCTATGGTGGTTTTTAAAACAAATTATACATTTTTGATCAGGGCTCTCATACAAAGTCTTGTCAATTTTTCACCTATTTGCTTACCTTCGACTGGCCAAAAATTTGAACTCAAATGATGTTTAAAATAAAATAATTCACATTTAAAAATTCCTAAGGCAAACATAACTGAAACAAAAGCCCTGATATGACTTTATTTCAATTGTCATGTCCTGCCATAAATTTAATTTAAAATTAAATATTGTTGTACCTGTTGAAAACAACTGTTCATTCTTCAAGAGGGGATTGTAATCAAATCTATGTTCAAGATAATGACTAAAATATACACAATGTTTTATAAACAGCCATAATTTTCCAACTAGTTAGAAATACCAATTGACTTATATTTTTGTGATTTTACCCTGATTTTAAAAGACAAAAGTATGTGGATAAAATAGTATGTGAATAAAATAAATCAATTATCTTAAAAAGAATTACATATATAATCATATTTTAACATTTAATTTCTTCATTCAATATTTACAAATATATAAATAATGTTAAAAATCAACCCTGATTACAATAAATCATGAATAACTATTAATAATAAAAGCTATATATCACAGTTTTGTTTATAAGAATCTGGAGTACTAACAAATAAATATTGACACTCAAAATTTTTAATAAAACAAAATTAAATAATTTTTGCAACACTCTACCTAAAACTGAAAATATTATGGAACAAGTTTTTAAATGGCAAGTTTATCCCAAACTACATTATTGGAAACTGTATATAATAATACCATAAAAGTGATCACTGTTTTTTGGGGTTTCTTTTAATAAAAATGTTAAAATAAAAGTAATAGTTTAAGGTTTTATTTTAATTCTTATCAAGGGTACATTACTGGCACAATCTATAATATTCAGTTTTGTGTAGACCAAGTTCGTGACTAGGTACCACTAATTTGTGAGAAACTAGCAGCAACCAGTTGGTCTACATCATCATCTTTGCTCAGTTACTATGATTTAGTAATGGAGTGATTAAAAACAAATTAACAAAAGATAACATGTTAATTTAGCCTACGGTCATGTTTCCTTTCTAAATTACATAAATTCCATTGAGAAACATATTTATATTATAGATCTATAGATCCTCTGCCATGTTCTACAGAGAGGATCAAGTGTAGATTGTGGTCAATACATTTATCCGGGACAATAAACCAATAAGCTGAAATCTTTCTATAATAATTATACAGACATTAAAGTAATAAATTAGAAATTAATGTTTAAATTTGTCCTTTGGGTGAGTTGGATATGTCCCTGTCTCAAAAAACTAGAATCACACATGCAACATGCCAACCATGTTAGATTGAAATTGAAATTCTTCTAATGGGAAGAATTAAAAACTTAAAAATATCTTCACTTGGTTCTGTTCCTCCTTCAATGGGCTCCAATTATGTTTGAACAAATCTAAATCTTCCCTATAAGCCATGCAACCAAGATATCTAGTGCAAGGGTACAACCTCCAAGATAACTTTTTACAGTTCTGGTTTTCAAAATTCCAAAATAGATACTTATGTTTATAATCCCAGGCTAAATGTACTTTTTGTATTGATTAAATTGAAAACTAATATCATCCTTCTTTTGTATTCAATTTGTATAATACCAGTGTTATACATGTACATTGATGTGAATATTTACTTCCTGAAGTGACTACAAATTTAATAAATAAAACAGAATTCAAGAAAAGGAATTACCCTTCCTTGTTGAGCGGTTTTCCTCCAACTTGAAATAAAGCTTCATATTGTGGTGGAGCCGAGGCTATAATGGGAGGTAATCTACCTTGTAATACTGTAGGTCTTCCTTCTGGATTCTCATTCAGCTAAAATTTATAAAATATTTTAAAATTAAAATTCCTGCAATTTGAATATAACCCATCAAGATATTTATCTTCCATGATGCACAGTACTTTCAAAATATAATGGCAAACATAAGACAGAAGACAATCAGAATGGCCTCCCCTTAATGAATACAAAGCATTATCTTGCCATAAATTCCTGGCAGTTTAATATCCATCTCTTAATCATTGAACAACAAAATTTATTATAAAAGATGTTTTCTTTTGGGGCTTTTATTGATTAAGATAAACTGAGATAGTATTACATCGAATAGAATAAATTACCTGGAAACCATTATTTATGAAAGGCGGGGGTTGCTTACAGTCTGGTCTTTCAGTGTAAGTATTGGAGGTTGTAAAGAGACCTGTTAAATCGGGACCTGTACCACCAGTATACATATTGTTAGAAGTAACAGAATATGGTAGGTTGTCATTTGGTTCCATACCATTTTGTTGTGTACAATCCATACTAGAAGCTGTACCTTGCATTGCACCGATCTGTAGTAAAAGATAAAAAAAAATTCTACATCATTATGTTCACCAAAAAACCCCGTTATCTTTGGTTTGGTCATATGTACTTCAAAGAGATTTATGCACAATTAGAACTGTTATTCAGAGCCTACATACCACTTCTGAGAAGCATATTGATGATGTAGAACAGGAATAACAAAAGAGGAATTTGGAGCAAAAATAATCTCAATTTAGTATATGAATTAATAAAGTGTATTTTGTCCTAATAGGGTTTGAAAACTCTGCTAAATTTGGCTATACAATAAATGTTAGTAATGTTAAATTTTCACATATTTAAGAAAGAAAAATCAATCTAAAAAATAACTTTAATGATATATTCTGTTTTGTAATGAAGTGTCCAAAAGTCTAATACTAGCTTACAATAATCCACATTTTACAAACCAATTGATCAATCTGCCTTTGTAGACCATCAGCCAATCCTTGGAACAAGATCAAATTGATAAAAAAAAAAGTCTCTCCACATTCATCCAGAACAGAAAAACAATGAAAAAAATTTCGCCATCAGGTATGTGTACTTTATGCTTCATTTGTAAATATACAATTACAATTTTTTATGATGATGTGCAAGATATGGAAATAGTGTATCAGTAAATTAAACTAACCTGTGTAGTGCGTATATGATATGGAAAATTCTTGTTGGCTGCATTGGGACGTGTTATAATCTGATAAAATAAAATGGAACATAAATTTTTTAAAAAAATCATGTGATATAAAAACTAACTTTCTTCCAAGGACTCTCATCTGATCATATCAAAATTCTTAATTTTGTATTTAAGAACTGAATGTGGAAATTCATGAACGGTTGTATGAGAGAACCCGAAGAAAACCCACAAGGTTGGATAGGCGACCCATCTCCTTGTCACATACAACCGGGGAATCGAAACCACGCCAGTTGACTCAATGACAGACCTTATGTCATGAATTTTATTACATTGAGATAGGGAATTCGTTTATCATTTAGTCTATCCAGAAGGCATGCAAATTTTCTGACAAAAAATCCTATACTACACCAGTGAGCAAACATTCTGGCAAATCACAAGCCTTGTTAGATTACCACTTAAAGGGAAGTAACTCTAATTTATTCACACTCTAAAAGTGAAATTGTCATTTTCGATTTTGGAATAATTAGTAGCCTAAATAAATGTTCTTACTTCTATTAGACAGATTGTTAATTAATTTCCCACCAGAAGATTGTACTATGCATCAAGTGCTATAGTAGGTTAGGCTACCGGTACATGTATGTTCAGGCTTGGCAAAAAAAGGGCTCCTTTCCACTCACATTGAGTCCCACTAGCTTACATAATACAGTGCTGGAAACTCATCCTATAATAGCATAACAGTAAACTGTGCTAGGGTGCAGGTGCAGACTGGGCCTCGGTCCCTCGCCCAGAAGATTAAGGGGTCCCGATTGGAAAAAAAACCACATTTTTCAAAATAAATAAAATTCATCTTCGAATCCACTGAAAAATAAAATGGCCTAAATCCAAGGAGCAAAACGATCTATGTGTGGAGTGCACATTTTCTCATCATGCCACATATTCTTCACTGTGAAGAAGGGAGCCTAGTTGGTCTGTTGACCCAGGTCTGCCAAATACTATGGTGAAATCCAGTGTAGGCTAATATCAAAACAGTTAAACATACATTATGCAAGAGCTAAATCTGTCTAGTGCAGGTCTTATTTGGGCCTGAAATGTTATCTAAATTATTAATTAGACATTAATTAACCTATCCAGACCATAATCAACTCTAGATGGTTATGCTAGCCTGCGATCTTTACTGGATTATGAGCCGATTTACTGCATAACTTTCATTCTCGATTTAACAATTTAATGGATAATCGAGACTATGCTGTTTATCGTAGGCCTACTGACTTAGGCCTACTGACTTTAGTAATGATAATCGAAGCTAGGCGGGAATTCCAACCGCTTAGTTCTCGGTTCATAGTGGATCAATTTGAATGAAATTTTCAGAAAATTGCCTTTACATTATCTAGTTTTTAACTATTATAGTGAGAACTGCCAACTCGCTATCGAATCTCCCATAATGTATCTTTAATTTAAATCAAAACTGTTCCATCCATGGTTGATGATAATTAACTGCTTTGATACTCTGTCAATTCACATACTTCTACATGCAAGATATATGAAAGTGGCTTCAATTACGTTTACTGCATAATTTCAATACAAAAATAAGATACGTACATGACTATTATTATCTAAAAAATGTTGTTATAATAATTTTATTACATGTAATTCAGACATATATATTAACTTACCAAAAAGAAAGCATGTCCCACTAAAGCTACCAATAGTTCTACTCCATTGACAGTTTTTTCTCGGGTCCACAAGGCCATTGAATGTTGAGATATCAAGATAACAATCGGTCCTGCCCAAAACCTGTTAACAGTAAAAGGTCATTCCAAAGATAAATGACTGAATGTAAAAGTGGTGAATGAAAAGAGCACTCTGTATAAATTTGGGATTGCATTTAATATTAAGTGCAGGAGGACAAACCCGCGGAATAAACGAAACAATTTATACAGACATATCAAGCAATAGACAACAGACGTAAGGCCTATATATCAATTTAAGTGAATGAATCTGGGGGCCGGCCGTAAGAGTCCACAAACTCAAAATAAGGGAGACAATCCACAAAAACAGGAATATTTCCCGAAATTTGAATCAGAATCTGTAAAAATGGATAATCGAGACTTTGTTTATTATCGTAACAACGGTAACAATGACAATCGAGCCTACAGTGTGTTTAAAATTCGGTTTTCTCGGCTTAGAGTGAAGTAATTTGACTGAAATTTCCAGGATATTTCTTTTTACGCTATCTATTTTTTAACTATTATAGCGAGAACTGTCAGCTCTTTATCTAATCTTCCATAACGCCCCTTTAAACAATGGATAACTGTGTACTTACCATACAGTAAAAAATCCAAAAAATGGATAATAAAACATTCCTCTATTTGGGAAATGTTTTAAGGTGAAGAAGATAGCGTAGAGGAACCATATCCAACCAACAATTCTCATAGCAATTAAACCATACCCTGGTGGACTGTCGTATACATACAATACTTTACCTGGATCAAATAACTACAAAAACAAAATATAAATAAAAGTAACAACCTCCACCATCATACTTTACATAGTCATACTTTAAAGGGATATATTTAGTCATTACAGCTGTGTATAAAGATTAGTTTTTCAAAGCAGACAAAGCTGATATTGTGAGCTGCCAAAATAGAACTTTAAAACATAGCAGCTGAACAGTTCTTCTTACATTTAAAGCACATTTCTCATTCTAATATACATCTGGAGACAGAGATCATTAGTGAAATATCTCAAGGTCACCAAATCTGGCAATGCCTTTTTAAGAAAGATGAATTATGTTTTTTCTCAGACACTGTATTGTAGGGTAGCATGATTTTTAATATGAAAACTTTTATCATTTACCTCAGCTTCCCATATAAACATGACAGAGTAAACAACGATGTAGATACATGTAAATACTGTTAATTTTATTGTTCCTTGGGAACTCAGTCGACCTCGGGTGATAGTATAGCCTTTAGCCATCAATATCAACATTAATAGAAATACTAATATACTCGCTGATCCAAATATACGTGCTGAAATTTTTAATAAGAAAATGTTAATTATTTTACAAGTAAGAATATTATTGTATCAATGGTATTTAGTAACTAAACTGGAAATACACAGAACACAATTGCAGAGAATCCTGGTTGAAACATTGATCAGTAATTATATTTCAAAAAATACCGACTCAAGCCAATCATAAAATACTTCTTCCTTAGTAACAACTTGCAATAGCAACAGCTGGCTCTTATATGTAATCTTGATGGTAAAATCCATCACTGTGCAAACAGTAGGCCTACATTCCAAACCATGATATGATAAAGTGAGAACTTAAAAAAAGGAACAAAATCAAAATGGAACAATAGAAATGTAAAGACTGTAAACAGACTATTATTTTGTCCTGTACAGATATATTATGGCATAGTGGTTTAATGAAATTGCTTCAAGACTTTCAAGCTTACTAGATAAATATTAGATTCTCTGAATCACTTGTGATGCACACAGGACAGAAATGTAAAGATATCACTAACTGGAACCTGTTGTTTGAAGTAAGGAGCGTTATGTAGTTTTGATCGAATGGCTAGCTCGCATGGCTAGTGTTTGTGAGAAAGAACAGTTAGAGACTTAAAACAAGTGGACAGAGGATAATCCAAGAATTTACTTAAGTCTTCGATATCTATTGTAAATGGATAGCAAGTAAGGACAAACACAAGCTAAAATGGACCATACAGTTAATCAAGTCATGTGACAAACATGGCTGCTAAAAACAGATTTTCACAGATTGGGGTATTTGTTTGCAATTAAAATCTTTTGAGAAGGACAGATAAATTAATTTGAATATGCCTTTTGTCCAAATATATCATTAATTCACACATCTTTAAACAGGACAATAATCAGTTGATAATATAATTGGTGATGTTCCTGTTTCATATGAAACAAGACAACACTGAGGCTGATAATGTGGTATGACATGTCATCCCGTAGGATTTGTATGCTAAAATTGATTTTTTTGTTGTTTTGGGTTGCTGCTGGACCAAGCTATACAAAAATGTTGGGGTTCAAATTTTCCGACCATTGACCCCTCTGGGAGGGGCATTTTTGAAACCCGGACCCCTCTGACCGAGTCCATGGCAATCTCTGCCAACAATGGTTGGATTTTCATAATCTGAAGTTCATGCCGATCTCATCTATGATACACTTAAAGCAAGTGGAGGGAGTTTTCATTGAATTCCAGTGGGGAATACCAATTTCCAGTGTCTTTTGTTGGATTTTGAAGCATGGTAAAATTATTAATATGGTCACTTTTGGGTGACTGGAATGTTCTGTCATGAAATTCAAGACACTTTGACATTTGTAACAAGTAAACAAGTTTAATATCAAAAACAAAGAGAATCTTAACAAGCCAGATGTCGCCAGAAACGAAAAAAAAGATCCTATCTTGGAAATAAATACATCAGTTATTCATCATCCTCGTCCTCCTGCACACCCCTAATCATATTGGTAGGTCCCTATCAAAACATGTGCAGAAAGATGTATAAGGCAGACCATTTTTAGCAACTGCATTGCCCTGTGCAGCCTGTTTTACAACCACATTTTGTGAGTTCAATTACAGCACGATGGGCAGGCAGATCAAGATTCGGCACAGGAACATAAATGCCCTTGTCCAACTGCCAGCCGTTGTCGTTAAATGGCAGGAAGGTTCAGGGATCGGGCTAGGTACGACTTGTCGCGTATCGTGATGTACTTTGTTCCTGTGATATGGGGTGACAATGCAGCACGAGTCAGTGGAAGCATCTCTATCTCTCCCAAGTTTTCTGAACTGAACAATTGCCATCTAAGTGCTGGTAGGTTTAATGGAACAGATGAAGAGTAGATTTGGTAGGCAAATCTCTCCGATTCCTTGACCTGCGAAGGCAAGTCACCCTTCTCCAAACTTTTTGAAACAGATGATAACATCACCATCAAGCTTCATGTATGCACCAGCCCCTGTTTTCTTTGTGATACCCACAAATTTACCTCTGCAGTCAGCACAAGAGAAACTGCCAAGTCCAATCAGACCTTGAGACTTATGACTTCCAATGACATGCACTCGCTCGATCACACCTATCTCTTGATCTCTGTATTTTGCGGCCTTCTCGGTTACAAACCTGAGATGACTGCGAATACCGAGACGACCCCGGGAGACAAGGTCCATGAGCATTGTGAGGTCATTGGCGTCACGTGACCAAACATGTGCTTTCCGCCAGTAACTCTCAGCTACAGATGCAAGATCTAAGAGTTTCTCAATGATGAGAACCCTGTGTAGTGTAGCCTTTGCTGTATCAAACAGGCTAGGATATGCTATACTAGCCTGGTTGATACAGCACAGGTCACATCACCCAAACTTCTCATCATTTATGCTATGGCTGTACGTCAGAGTATGAAGAAAACATCAAACCCTCAGAAACTCCCTGGCCTACAAGTGGCATTCACAAAAAGTGGTACTGCTTGATAGATTTCTTTAAACTGAAATCATTCCGAGTTTGGCACTGGAAATTGGTATTTCCAACCGAAAGTCGATAAAAAATACTTCCATTCGCTTAAGTGTATCATACACGGGGTCGCCATGATGAAGAAAATCACCCACAATGAACTTCAGATCATGAAAATCCAAAGATTATTGGATGAAATCAATCCGAGTTTGACACCGGAAATTCCTTTTTTTACACCGAAAGTCAATGGAAACTACTTCTATTCGCTTTAAGTGTGTCATAGATGGGGTCGGCATGATGAAAAAAAACACAGAATGAACTTCAGATCATGAAAATCCAAAGATTATTGGCTGAAATCAATCCGAGTTTGACACCGGAAATTGGTATTCCCAACCACCGGAAGTCAATGAAAACTATTTCCAATCGCTTTTAGTGTATCATAGATGGGATCGGCATGATGAAAAAACATGACAATGGACTTCAGATCATGAAAATCCAACAATTATTGGCGGAGATAGTCATGTTCTCGTTCAGAGGGGTCCCAATTTCAAAAATGACCCTCCCAGAGGGGTCAAGGGGTCGGAAAATTTGAACCCCAACAGTTTTGGATAGCTTGGTCCACCATCAACCCAAAACAACAAAAAAATCAATTTTAGCATACAAATCCTACGGGATCTGTTTTGATGACATGTCATACCACACTATGATATCCCCTACTGATTTCCCAAAATAAATACATCACACATATTAATTAATTGCACATTTATCTTTTTCAAAAGTATCGAGCAATCAAACTGATTATCTATACTCAGTCTAAGCAGAAAATGTTCACGATCGAACTCAGTCAAGGTTTTGAAGTACATGTACCTGGTAGTGAAATGCTACACCAAGTTTTATCACTCTCAATAAGTTAGAATCAATTTTACCTTGTCCCAAAGCATCGAGCTTTAGCGGAAAATGTTAATCATTGAACTCAGCCAAGACTAGCCCAAGAAGAAAATTCTCACTGTGGAACTTCATCACTCTCATCCAATTAAAACCAAAGTTATCGTGTTTCAAAGAATCAACCAATCAAATTGATTATCTCTGCTTGGCCTTAGTGAAAATGTGCATAATTGAACACTGTCAATAGACACCTACACCAAGTTTGAACATTCTACTCTCAATTAGAAGGAGAATTATTGTGTTCCAAGGTCTTGACCAATCACATTGAAGTTTCTACTTAGCCAAAGCAGTAAATGGTGTAACAATATTAAGGTCTTGACCTAATATTGGTTCCAAGGCCGTAAACAAGTTAGACGTAGCGTATTCAACAGAAATAGATAAAAGTTTGATATTTCGGAGTGACATAAACACATCAATTTGTTTATGCTTTAAAATTTGCCAGATAATCTCTAAAGGCCTATGTCCATATTTGGGTATTTCCTACGTCGTTTGGCGTAATTGACCAATCACCTAATAGCAAAAATCAGGAGATATAAAAGGCAAAACCTAGACTTAGAAAATCAGATGTCATTTGAATTCTGAGAGAACCAATGATATAATGTTTTCCAGACAACTAGCAATGCTAGACTTTGTGGGAGCAGGGTTAAGAGAATGACAACTATGTAGACTTGTTTTAAACTATGTATCCTGCTTCAACATAAAAATGTATACAAAAACTATTGTTGTTCCTGATATATATCTGATTTGGGTAGCAGTGAGTAAACAAATAGCGTGAAGTCCAGGGGCAGGGGAACAACAAAGACTAAAGATATAAAAGCATGCTAACCTACTGATCATTTAATATGTTTATTAAAATAAAATTGTGGATAACATAGCGAAAGTGAAAGAGTATCTTTGATATAAAATTTTCTTCATTTTCACTTGTTGGGTTTACAACCTCCACACCAGACTTACCCTGGTGTTGTACTTATAACAATGTTTCTCACCTGTTAATATGGTTTTTGTTTGTTGATATCCTGTATCACCATACATACCATATCCTATACATAGTAGAAATAGGTGGAAAGTCCACAGACTAACAGACACTAAATACATCTTATATGTTGTATGAAACAACTGTCTTTTCTGTAAAAATGCTGTGAAAAAAACAACATTGAATTTAAATTGCTTTAAAAATTAAATTAATAATTTTTGCTGAACAAATAGCATGCCACAGAGACTCAATTACTACAGGGAAAAAAGTAATTATTATTTGGTTTCATATTGTAAATATCATAAAATGAAGGAGATATTTTATTGTTCCTTCTCTAGACTTCATCAGCTAGATAATATTACGTTGTACTCAGCCACCCAACCCGAAATGGAATAAACACAAATTTAGTAACCAAATATGTTGAATTTTGATAGAGTTCCTCCTTTTGCCCAAATGAAAACAGCAACCGAGAACCTTTTTCTGTATCACATTAACAGTCAAAATGTGAACAGAAAGATAAATCCATAAAACATGTTTGAAATTCTGTACACCAATACAATCTCACCAAGTATTAAAAATCTATTGAGAACTCTTGAGATTTCTTAAATTTTAACATAAATAGGTGATAATTGCAAATCTGAAAAATACATGTAAAGAAACAAACCTGTAGAGTATTCACAAGAAATTGTGGATGAACAGCGGCAATGTCAATAGAAGTCCACATTAAAAATAAGTTCAGCAGATTGAACAATATCAAAGGACGATAAAATCTACAGATCTACTCTCAAACAATTATTTTTCTAGGAAGTGTACTTACATGCACAAACAATAGATAGAGCTAACATAATAAGATAGGCAAGTAGAAAGGCAATATCAACTGGTAATATATCTGAAAAAAAAAAAAAAAATGTTATTACAAAAACAAGATTCCTATTTAATACTTTTCCCAACTAATAGGGGGGGGGGGGGGAGGTGTGGATGGCCGAATGGTTAGCATGTGCGCGCTGCATCATAAGGCCTGTCATTGAGTGACAAGAAGTAGGGTCGCCTGTCCAACCTCGTGGGTTTTCTTTGGGTAATCCGGTTTACTCCCACGCAATAAATATTGAAATAAAATTAAACCATATGTTACTCCCGTAATGACCTAGTTTGTGTCGAGTGGACGTTAAACCCCATTTCTCTCTCTCTCTCTATCAGAATTTCAACTTTCACTACTAGTCTTGGTTTATCAAGACGTTATATGTGTGAAAGTACAAATGATTTAGCTCAAAGAATGGCTATGCTGGATACACACATAAAAAAATGATGGGGTACACATTTAAGCCAGAGTGACAATATGAAAACAAACAATCTGTTTATTTTCTTGGATATTTGTGTGGTTTCTCGAAATAATTAATAATATTATTTTTATAATTCGATCACAGATTATAGAAACAAGATTGTGTTTTGGCTAAACCATGAATCTGTCTAAACCCTGCAGTATAAAGTTATCACACTTACAAAATTCATCAGCAGAATACTCATATGTTAAAAGTCCACCACCATTGGTCATATGTATTGAATAGTCTAACTTTAATCCTCGTGGCTAAAACATCAAGATATTAACAATTTATTACACATTTTGAAGCTTCCCTTATTTACTTCTGTGAGAAGTCTTTCTGGTTAGTTCTTAGAAACACTTTTCTAGTTCCATGAATTGGAAGAAGACAAAAAATCTGACACTGTGTAGTGTCTGGATAATCGAAAACTTGCCATTGTCTGATTTTGGCTGTTGCATTAGGTCACTCATTATAGTGGCCAAACAATAAATTAAAAATCTTTATCTGGTTCATAAAACAGAGTTAAAATACTTAAGCAGTCATTTGAGCTGGAACTTTAAGACAAGGTAAATAGACTCATACACTGGGTTTTGATTTAATATGTATATATACTCATATTTCAATGAATATCCTGTAAAATCTGGAACTACCCTTTTAAGAAATGCCCAGGCATTACTTGCCACATAATGGTTCAAATAATGTTTGGAATTAGTCACCATTTATTGTATTCTCTATTTGTATAAAAAAAGAAGGAATGTTATACCTGGCCTTGCTTGTCCTCGCATCTTGCTAAGGCTATAAACCACCATCTTTCTCGTGCTGACCGAAATGTTCTTGTGCCTGTGCAATTGTAAAAGTTAGTGCCATCTTTAGTAAATATTTTACAGTTCGAATACTGGGAGGCTATACCACTGCCTTGGTCTAGTGCTATAATTTGGTTATTTTCTGGTTTTAAAACAGCTACTTTGGCCGAACAATTCTGAAAGAAACAGATCCATTAACATTTCAGCAATATTTTAATAAGTGAGAAACCCTTACAGTCGGTGTAATGGTGAAATTTGAATTTAAATAAAGTGAGGGGAGCACAAAATTTTAAACTTATATAAGCTGACAATAAAGAAACACCTTGCAAACACTTTCTTAAGAATTTAAAGAACAATGTTTTACTGAATCTTTTATAATATCTCAAAATAAATCATGTGTTGTTAGTGTATCATATAATCTTATTTAATGTCCATTGCTCTTGTTTTCATGTCAAAAAGGCTCCTGTGCCAAATTACGCAAGTTTTACTTACTAGCTTACCACACCATTGTGGGTGATGGAAAGGGTAGGTCAGGTCTACAATATTGGTGTCAAGGAATTTTGATAAAAATGGTTAAGCAGTATTGTGTAATTACAATATGACAATATGAAATGTCATCCATGTTGAGGATTTTGGTTCTATCTCTTACAGGCATGTGAATGAACCAATTTGCAACTTTACATGGAAGCAACCATTATATTGCTATCATGACCAATCTAATCAAAGACAGGTGTTATTTTTGTTTCATTTCAAATATTTTTTTTGTACACATCAATATGCATACATAGAGAATCTCCTACCAGTCTTTTTTGATATCAAAAAGACGAGTAGGGGATTTTATTTATCACCCAATCCCTTCTTACACGCACAAATAGATAAATATAATTTTTTGCTGTAGATTTCACTTTTACTTAACATTACGGCGTAGTGATACATCATTTTTTGACAGCAATTCAACCATTGCAAAGTCCTTTATATTGACCCAGTGTATCCATCAAGGTCAATTGAATAACAATAGTTCATTTTTAATAAAAAAAAAAGTTACTTTTAATAAGAAATGAACTGTTCTTTGAAAATAAAAAAAGTAGTTCCTTTTCAACTGACCAATCAAATTCATGTAAATGATATATCGCAGTAGATTATGAAATATATCACACAAGCGATATCTACTGTAGAATGTATTATTGGGTGATAAAGGTGGACATTAATATTTTGTCCCACGGGAATAACTAGGCCCTATAGGCACACACTTTCCTTGCTAGTGAGAAATGAGCTTGAAATATCCTGAAATTTCTTCTCAAGCTACACAGGGATTTGAACCTAAGATTTTCTGAGACGACAGTGCCTTACACACTCTTCCCCAAACACACACTGCTCAGCATAACAGTACCTTTGACATTGATTAGAAAGCCAATCAATAGCTCAATTTAAGGCACCAGTTCTCTTTGCCAATTAATAAAGTGTTAGCTTTTTACTACATTTAAGAATGTTCTATCTAATTTCTGTATTAAGGGTTTTGATCGGTCTATACAATTTGTATCTATCAATCACATTCTCCATATTACTGAACCGAACGGGATGAAATGTCAGTACAATTTTAATCAATCTGGTTAAAACACAGATCCTATTTAGATTTGTATTTTATAGTTCAAAATTTCGCTTTACTTGTCTTTACTACACTAGGATCTGGAAGAGTTGTTATATTATTGGCATTCTGGTTGAGGTGAGGGATTAGCCAATGAAACAGTCTGTTACGGCGATTTCTTGGCGTGCTCTGCAAAAAAACTGTGGGTAAACACCTAGAAAAGTCAACGCTGATTGATTCAATGTCTGACGTCATAGGGTGAAAAGTCGCTCGTACAACCCCAGACATGACCTTCCAGTGTAGGCCATCGAAAGTATAAAAAAACTAAAAGAAATATAGATCTGTATTTTAATCAGAATGAATTTTAATTAGACTTTGTCACATCTTATTTTCTGATATTATGTAACAAATACTTACAAGGCTTGTTTTATATACAGCAGCCCATTGTGTAGCTTCATCAAAATACAATAATACATTCTCTGTAGCATATTCCTGTAAGTACATTAAACATACTGATATTAATAATCATTTGTCACTATGATAACAGTAAACATACTGTTATTAATAATCATTTGTCACTATGATAACAACACTCACCAGCAGCCATGTTGTCCAAAATCATTGTCAGCATATCCTGCTGAGCAAGTTTTAAAAGATTACATTTTAATATATATGTCAATAAACTATGGAGATTTCACAACATAATTCTAACTATAATTTATATTTATGTTAATATGCTTACTTCAATGCATGTACTTAACAAAAAAAACTTCTGGGGAGTGATTTGAGAATCTGCACATAATGTTGTCTTACAGTTATCCTCAATATTTACCCTAGTTCCCTTCACAAGTACATGTGTGTGATGGACAGATTCTGGTATTGTCAAACCTGTGACATACATAAGAGATAGAGAGAAATGGGGTTTAACATCCTCTCGGCACAAACTAGGTCAATTTTATTTCAATAATTCGCTTGCTCGTAGGGATCTTTAGCAGTGGGAGGAAACTGGAGGACTTGGAGAAAATCCCCGAGGTTGGACAGGCGACCCTATTCCTTGCCACATACAACCGAGGAATCGAAACCACACCAGTTGACTCAATGACAGACCTTATGATAAAGCACGCACAGACTAACCATTCGGCCATCCACCCCCCACCTCCTCGACCGGCCTACAATTAATATCTCCCAGCTATCATGGACCCCTTCTCCTTGAGATATGTACATTTCATTTAGCACTTTTAATAACTATCAGGGTCAATCCATAATCCATTTACCATCCATGACAGTATATTCAGATCTTTTGAAAATTATTATTACTATTAGGTTGTCCTGACCCAACTAATAATGGCTGCTTGTTACAAATGTATCTCTCAATACACCATATAGAAACATGTCTTTGTTTGTTAGAGCTAAAATAAAAGCCTCTTAGTGCAGATATTGATTGCAGCTACTATTCACTTTGGGTTCATAACTAAATTTAAATCTCAAACAAATAGACTGTCTCTATGCCACAAAATGAAAGTACACAACATTTCATATAAAATCTTTTCTATATACATGTATACCATTATATAGCTTATAAATATATAGATTAATACAGGTCTTCTTGAAATTAATTCATAAAAAAGATTTCCCTCGTATATTCATGTTCAAAACATAAAGTACCATACATTATCTAATAAATACACCAAATGACATAGAAGACCTTCTTACAAGCATAGACTGGACAAAAATTTGTTTATTTTTTAAATACATGTTTCAACCTTTATAGAAAGGTGTATATATACAGGTCACAATTCTATGGAATACAATCTTTGCTTTTCATTGCTTGATAAAGACTAGAGATGCCTAGTTGATATGTCTCTCAATAATAAGCAGCTACCCATAGAACTGTCACCTGTAAATGCCATTGAAACAATTCATAGAAAGGCCATACACAAATGATTTACCACTGTATGCTGTTGGCATTCAATTGTTAATTCTCTACTTGGGAGCTGAGAAATTTTAAGTTCCTCAGGATTTTCTGGTGTGGTTTTCCCTTGATGAAGGGCCTGGAAGAGGAAAAGAGTCTTAGTTGTTCCGATGGGAAACAAAAACAAGGTCCTGTGTACACATTGGCGTGCACGTAAAAGAACCTTTGACATCGGAATTTAAAGTAGCCTGTAACACTGCTGTCTAGGTAAAATGTTTGTCTGTCTTCATTAGCCAGACTGGAGCAGAAAAGTAGGACGTTAAACCAATTTCATTTCACTTTACTTGAATGAAATAAGTTAAAGAGAAATCATGTAAAAGTTGTACAAATTTTGAAACGTGTGATGACCTAACAATATTCTCCCAACCATTACGCATCAAAAGTTACTATTCCTCAGTGAGTATGACGTTGGCTCACTCTTGGTGTTGGCCAAGAAAGTTTCTCCAGATTTTCCATTGTTATTTCTCTTTGTGGGGGGTCTGACAACGAATGGGTCTAGACATTCAGATGGAAAGAAAAAAAACGTGTGCATGTAACGAACCCTTGACCGCTGAAATTCAAAATAAAGTAGGTAGTGCCTATCTTCGTGCAAAATTTTCCTAATAGCACACTGTATGGTGTATGGATGAACGTCTTTATTAGCCCAGTCAGTGTGGAAAAGGTGGATGTTAAACCCTATTTCATATCATTTCGTTACACAATATTGGGATTTGTTGTCTGAAATATATTTTGGCTAACTGCCATTACATGTATAATAGATTTATTGATCAACTATAGACAGAACTATTTATTGACCTTTATAAAAAAAAAAAAAAAACCTTTATAAAAAACACCTTTATCATGGCAAGCACCGATAAATAACAAAATTCTTAAAGGGGGAGTTATTCTCACAGGCCAAAATCACAAAAATACCTTTACATTCATTAAAACATTTGATAATTTCAATATTAATGTCAATACACGATTTTTAAAAATATACTAAAAACAGAAGACGTATGTACGTCGTTTTCACCAGGGCATAAAGAGGTTGCCATTTTGGCTTGTCATGCACCATAAACCTGCTATAATGACGTCATTGCCGCCCTAATAGCTATCATGGCTAGGGTGTCAAGATTGTACAATAAAGTAAGGCGTAGTTCATACAAACAACGTAATACTGATACAATATTGAGTGGTTGTGACGAATCTATAATATTTAACATAATTTATCCTAATAAATAGATATATTGTGACAAATGTTTGGTGGATAATCCAATCTTGACGACTTAGGTGATGGACGATCACTCAGTTGTTATTGACATTTGTTGTATGTTTATGACTTTTAAAGGCAGAAATATGAATGACTAAGTCATCAGCAAGACAACTATTCTACAAATATTTGTTTCATTTACATAAAATTTTCAGAATTGTCTTCTACTTTTTAAAATAAATTTTATAATGGACTCCCTTTCACTCTTAGGTTAATTAGATGTCATGAAGTCATTCGGTCATCTTTCCAGCTAACCAGCTAAATATAATCCTTATCTAGAGATAATTAATACTAACATACAAGTTATGTGTAGGATAAAGCACGAGACTGAGGTTATGCTGGAGAAAAAAGACTGAAGAAAATAATCCGAGAAAAAGAAAAACCGAGGCAAGCAGGCCAAGGTTTTTCTGTCAAGTTTTTTTTTTCTGAAATCTTTCTTCCACAGCATGACCGAAGTCGAGGACTTTATCTTGCTTATAAACCGTCTATGGTTACATGTATCTACAATGAGAATATCCAAGAATTCCAGTAATAAAAACCTGATATCATGTTTTCCCAAGGAAAATAAAAACCTGATATCATGTTTTCCCAAGGAAAATAAAAGCCTACAGGTTACAGGTATAAAGAAAAACTTTCAGAAGAATAACCCCAAATTCCCCTGTATATATCCAAAGTCGCCCAAGACTTTCAGACCGCAAGTTATTCCGGGTATAGAATATACCCCAAAAATCAAAGGGATTTACCGTTATAGGTTTATAAGTCAGGGAAAAATTAGGGTGTGATTTAGGCAAGATATAGCCAATAGTATTTTCAGTAACCCAGTTATCAAGCCAACAGATTACAGTGTTCTAAAAGTTAAATTTAGACAGAATTCTGAAATACATCAGAAAAGTTTAATTTTTCTGTCTTTTACATAAATCTTAGCTAACGACTAAGATTAAATCTTCCATTTGTTTCTTTCAGTGGATCCAAAAGGCTGAAAAATAATAAAAGAAACAATAGGAGCTGTTCCAGACTTACAATGTATATCGTGGGAAAAATGAAATGAAATGGGGTTTAACATCCTACTGTTCTGTTCCAACTGGGCTAATGAAGATGGGTGTACGTCATACAGTGTGCTATGAGGAAAATTGTTGTCCCATCAGTAAGACTATATGTTGTCCCTTGCCCGGCCCTCTGTCCTGCACCACAGACAAGGAGAAACCACGCCAGAAAATCCTGATGAACTTTCTTGGCCAACGCAGGGATTGAACACGGGACCTCCAGGTTAGCGACCAATGTCTTACTCACTGAGCCATTGTGGCTCCCGTATATCGTGAGATTAATAAGTTTTATTGAATAAAATATATTTGAATAGCTTAAATTGCTGTGACAATATAGTTTAAGGTTGCTTTCATCATGGTATAAAATTAAGAATGGGAGTTTTACACATTTATTTTTATACTTAAATGTTAAGAGAAAAATGACAGCATATATATACTGGTACTTTTAATAATTCATTAATTCAAGAATACCCACTGAGAGAGAGAGAGAGAAATGGGGTTTAACGTCCACTCGACACAAACTAGGTCATTTCGGGACTAACATATTGTTTAACTTTATTTACATAATTCGTATGCGCGTAGGGGTCTTTAGCAGTGGGAGGAAACCGGAGGCCCCGGAGAAAACCCACGAGGTTGGACAGGCGACCCTACTCCTTGCCACGTACAACCGGGGATTCGAAACCATGCCAGTCGACTCAATGACAGACTTTATGATACAGCGCGCGCACGCTAACCATTCAGCCATCCAACCCCCCAAAAATACCCACTGAACAAAAGTACAGACTTTATAGAGTTGTAGTTTAATCATGACGTTAATATATCTTTTATTAACAACAAACTACAAAACTATATAAGCAATACAAAATCAAATTTTAAAATAAGTCTTAAAACTCATGTGTTTAAAAAAGCTTATGATTAATTATTTGTGTTATTTTATAACTATTTGTTTGCTGTAAAGAACCTTTGAGCACTCTTTGTATAAAGATTCTTAATAATAATAATAATAATATATATATATAGAGAGAAATGTTATTTAACGTCCACTTGACACAAACTAGGTCATTTCGGGACTAACATATACATATGGTTCAATTTTATTTCAATAATTCGATTGCACATAGGGGTTGTTAACAGTGGGAGGAAACCATAGGACCAAGAGAAAACCCACGAGGTTGGACAGGCGACCCCACTCCTTGTCATAAACAACCAAGGAAACAAAACCATGTCAGCTGACTCAATGACAGACCTTAATAATAATATAACCAGGTAGGTAGGGCCAGGGGCACATTTAAAAACCCTTACTTTAGTCTAAACCAGGGGTGTCAAACATGCTGTCCGCGGGCCAGATCCAGTCTGCCAAGGGTTTAAATGTGGCCTATGAAACAAATTTCAACAAACTGACGTGTTGATAATTCTTAGAATCTATTGTTATTGTTTTCCAGTTTCAGTAAAAATCTGGCTTCTTTACTGTATGTCATAGATATCTAAATTGGCTAAATTGGTCCATTTCAAAGTATTGAATTGCATTATAATATGTAACGATTTTAATCAAATAAAATTTTCTTTATCTTGATATTTTTGTGTATGTCCGGCAGCCCACTTGATGAAATGAGTTTGATACTCCTGGCCCCAAGTTCACAGCGCATTCTCAGACTTAAGTTGAGAATTTACTCAATTTTCAATCACTGTTTATACAGAATATCTTTCATCCAGAAACACAAAACTTTGCACATAGTTTCTTATTTTGAGTAAATTCTTAACTTCAGTCTTGAGAATGCTTTGTGAACTCGGGGCCAGGTCTAAACCTTGTTATAAAAAAGTAAAATGGTAGAAACTGGTAATAATCAATCTTTAACTAGTAAATGATTTAACTGTTCCTTTCCTATATATCTAAAATCATAGTTATGTTAAATATTTCAATATCCTACTATACCAAATAACTGTTTAAGTTTATTTCTAAGCCGCACATCAACTGGCAAAAATGGTTTAATTCGCTGCCTAGTTAAAGGTTTTATTATACATGTACAATATATAAACAATCGATTATCCTATTACTTATAGTTTCCATCTTCAGATCCATCAAACATTGATATATTTTTAGAAAGTTTATCGTCATGTACATCTTGATTTTTTATTAAAGGAATATTGATCCACGTCAATTTTTGATGTAATTAATTCTGATCAATTTACTTAAAGAGAAAAGACCAGAAGAATTGAATGTCTACTGAATGAACCTTGTTTTTGTCCTGTGTATGAACAAACTACTTAATTATTGTTACTAAAAACTAACTCAAACGTTTGAAATCACCTTCAGTAAAATAAAATTCACTGTACAATTAAAATTTCAAGAGCACAAAGATATGTTAAAGATGCATTATGTAAGAACTAAATCTGCCTACTGCAGGTATTTTATTTGACAACAAATCTTATATAAATTATTATTTAGACATTTATTCACAAGATAAATCAACTATCTAGACCATCAGATGACCAAGATTTTAAAATCTAACGATAAAATGGAATTTCGTGATCTATTTTTGAACTAAAGCAAGAACGGCCAAATCTTTATCTAAATCTTACATAATGCATCTTAAATATTGTACACTGCATTTTATTTTACTGGAGGTGATTTCGAATATATGGGTGAGTTTTTAAATAACCATATTTTATTTAAAGGAGCTAAATCGCTAATATTTGGGACCTAGAAATTGACACAAATGAGTCACAACGCATATAATAATGTAATATGAAGGTATATAAACTGATTTACATTCAGTTGTTTCTATTTTTACTCTAATTTCAAATCAGTTAATTTCCGCGAAATACACCAGAAGTCTCAATCTAATGGTAATCTCTAGCTTCTGGTTATTCCAGTCTACACCGATAGTGTTTATTGTGCATGCTCTCCAGATAAGAATATGACGCCACTGTTTGAAATAACTTGTGGAATATGTCTAGTCTCGTTCTTCGAGTCCCTTGTTACAAATTGCGCCGAAACACATTATGGTACACGATTTGTGTACCAATGGTAAAATGTTTATTTTGTCTTAAATACTGGATATCAGAAACCCATCTTTTACCGTAAGATCACAACATCAATGCTGATTTAAATTGACAAATAATTTGTGTTTTCAATGTTGAAAAATTTGGATGATATCGAGTTAGAGACTTAGCTACTTTAAGTAGTTTATTCATTATCTTTTTAGCGTGGCATAACTTAAATAATTTATGAAGTGAATAATTTATTGGTTGTTTGTCAGCTCTTTGTATCAACTTCATTGATTATAACATGTCTGCACTTCAAACACTAACACTGTATTTAACACCTGTAGACACAATCATGTCACAACTGACATTGTATTGCAGGGTTGGATGGTTTAAGGCGTGCCAGTTAGATTAACAGGTCTTTCATTGAGTCAAGTGGTGGGGGTCTTGATTCCCCGCTTATACAGGGTCATCCTGTCCAATCTTGTGGGTTTTCTCCCCTTGTTTGTCCCTTACCGATAAAGACCTCTATGCGCAAGCAAATTATAGAAATGAATTTGTAAATGACTTATTTTCAGCAACATCATCTAAATCTTATCCTTGGCTAATTACCTCAAAAATTTACTTTATGTTGTATTTAGAGAGGTGCTTTCATTTCAGCTAGTTTCGAGTATCACACTTGAGTAACCATTGAGCACATCAAAGCAAAACGACCATTTAACAACGATTGAGCACGTCAAAGCAAATAAAATATTTAACGATTGAGCATGTCAAAGTAAAATGATCTATTAATGATTCAGCACATCCAATCACAATGTCATTTAATGGAGAATATAGTCAGTAGTTTATCATACATATGGTGCAATGTTTCCACAAGTATTCTATTATGGTTTTCAATAACCAGTTATTATATTCCATGTAAATGGTTGTTTGTTTTGATATGAGTTTACAGTTCAAATTTTGAACTATATGCTCATATCACAACAGACTTCAAATAAGCTTATTCAAATTTGACTGTGTGCAAAAATTTGAAACAAATCTTTTAAGACTTGAAATGAAATGAATTGGGGTTTAAGGTCATACTGTTCTGCTCCAACTGGGTTAATGAAGACGGGCATACACCACACAGTGTGCTATGAGGGAAATCTTGCTTGGACAGCAGTGCTACAGTTTACTCTTCTTTTGAATTCGAACTTTCAAGGTTCTATTACTTGCCCGTTAACATGTACACGGAACCTCTGTTATTTTTCTTGCCATGCCCTTATTATACTTACTGAGCCCCATGGCTCCCAATATATAGATACTGCCATATCAAGTTTATAGTGGTTTTCGAGGAGTTCCGTGAATGATGGTACAAAATGTTTAGCTGCAAGTACTTGGATTTCCAATAATTCTGTGAGTCAAGGGTTATTCTGAATATGACATATAAGATGTATGTGACACTTTAACCCATTAAATTTATTCTATATGCAACTGTGTTAGATTATACATATCTACTCCACCAGATATCTGTACAACATTGTTTGAACAAAGATCTAATATTAATACTTGTTTACACAAATTTCAAATTCCATGTAAGTAAACACTAACTAGATCTAAATCTTGAGAAATATTTTGGTCTGTCTTCATTAACCCAGTAAGACATTGAACATCATTTCATTTCATATTCCATATTTTAGAACTAACAAGGCTAACTTCCTCATACAATAATAAAAGAGTCACATTACATTAAAAGTTTGTCTGTCATGATATGCAGTTACATGACTACAATAAATAAAAACAGTTACTTAGAAATGATGACGGAAATATAATTTAATATGTTTCAGATTCTCATTCTTCTTCAATTTAAAAACAAAAACAATTTGCAACTAGAACTGCGATGCAATAATGACGGGTTTCACCAGTGCCACATTACCCTTGAACTTATGTCACTTCCGGTGCCACGTTTCTCTTGAACGTATGTCACTTCCGGTAAGAATGAAACCGTTCAACAGATTTCCACATAAACATTGCCCACGTGTTATAAAATGGATGCAGAATCAACAAAAGACAAGTCAAAATTGAAGTTTTGGGCAAAATTACGTCACTTTCGGTGCCGACAGAAACTTTTATCGGTAGAAGAAAGTTGGGAATTTGCACCACGGACCATATGGGCTTTACTTTTACACAAATCAGGCAATAAATAATTATCCCAGAACCCATAAACTGAAATCAAAATGCGAAAAATCTTAAAAAGTGATCCTGACAAAATTGGTTATTTCTCGGCAAAGGAAGATGTTAGAAACAATTTTGTGATATCAATATGATCGTATTGATTAATACTATTTGTCCATAGTAATCGAATATCATAATTTTATACTAATAATGAATATCGCTTACTTCAAACAAGTATTTGTTTTAGAGGCTAAAAATACAGTTTCTGCCTAAAGGACGTTACTTCCAGTGATAATGAAAATCTTAAATTACTTGTATGAAATTGTAAATGGCGTAGAAACGCATTATGGTACACCATTCATGTACCAATGGTAAAATGTTTATTTTGTCTTAAATATTGAATATCAGAGGCCCATTACTCGGTAAGATCACAACACCAATGTTGATTTAAATTAACAAATAATTTGTGTTTTCATTGTCGAAGACTTTGGATGATACTGAGTTAGAGATTTAGCTACTTTAAATACACCATTTTACTGACATTTAAATCAACTTAACATAGTCATTACAAATTTCCACTTACCACAGGATAAACAAATTTATATTCTAAGGTGCCGTATTTGGATAAAAAACAAAATCTTGTTATAAAAACCCAATTCTGTAAGGACAAAACAAAATATGATATTAGTACCAATATGTCAAACATGTAATATCAATCTTTGTTATATTATAGTTTCTTAATTGTTGGATTATTTTGATCAACAAAAATGATGATGTAAAATACGATAAATAACATGAATGTTTTAGGAATATATCTGTGTCATGAAATTGATGGAAATTTGAAATATTGAAATGGTTAATTTTTCACATAAAATAAAGAATGGTTTATATAAGTGATCATCAAGGTACTTTGGCATTTAAATAAATGTCACCTCTTGTCCAATTAATGAGAGCAGGTTGTTTCATCCCACGACTGGTTCATCTCGGACTGTTTCATCCCAAATTTACATGGGTCGTTTCATCCCACTTATATCGGGTCGTTTCATCATACAAATTTAAACATACATTATGCAAGAGCTAAATCTGTCTATTGCAGGTCTTTCTTTAGGCCTTGTGCGTGCTGTATCATAAGGCCTGTCATTGAGTCAACTGGCGAGGTTTCGAATCCCCAGTTGTACGTGACAAGGAGCAGGGTCGCCTGTCCAACCTTGTAGGTTTTCTCCGGGTCCTCCGGTTTCCTCCCACTGCTAAAGACCCCTAGGCGCAAGCAAATTATTGAAATAAAATTAAACCATGTGTTAGTCCCGAAATGACCTAGTTTGTGTCGAAGGGACGTTAAACCCCATTTCTCTCTCTCTCTTCTTTAGGCCTGAAATGTTATCTAAATTATTAATTAGACATTAATTAACCTATCCAGACCATAATCAACTCTAGTGGATTGTGACCAAATTTACTGCATAACTTTCCTTCATGATTTAACGATTTAATGGATAATCGAGACTATGCTGTTTATCGTAATTACTTTAGTAATGATGATCAAGGCTAGGCAGAAATTCAATCACTTTGTTCTCGGTTCATAGCTGATCAATTTGAATGAAATTTTCAGCAAATTGCCTTTACATTATCTAGTTTTTAACTATTATAGTGAGAACTGCCAACTCGTTATCGAATCTCCCATAATGTATCTTTAAAAAAACAGGTATTACATAAATTTTTAACATTTTATTTATACATTAATAACAATATGTCAATGCAGTTTTCTTATGAATAGTGTCCAACTTCTTCCTTTGCATATGCTTTACCTTATTTTCTGACTCTGCACCAATTCTCGACACCAATTTCACTAAAATTACATCGCTTACAATCGGGCGATGCTCATAGCAAAACTATAACAGGATTGGCCCGTAATAGGACACATCAAAGAATAAAATTGCATGTAGCCACTATTTAGACACATGTTATCTTCAGTTGTTTAGTCGTAATCGGTAATCAACAAAAATCAAGGAGTAAAACTTATTTATTCCATATATTATTGTTTATTTAACAATAAGTAGGCATTTAACAGGGTTTTTTTTAACAATAAGTACAACTCAGTTAGGGGGGTTGGATGGCTGAATGGTTAGCGTGCGCGCTGTATCATAAAGTCTGTCATTGAGTCGACTGGCATGGTTTCAAATCCCTGGTTGTACGTGACAAGAAGTAGGGTCGCCTGTCCAACCTCGTGGGTTTTCTCCGGGTCGTCCGGTTTCCTCCCACAGCTAAAGACCCCTACGAGCAATTTATTTAAATAAAATTAAACCATATGTTAGTCCCGAAATGACCTAGTTTGTGTTGAGTGGACGTTACACCCCATTTCTCTCTCTCTCTCACAACTCAGTTAATTGACTGCTATTATAATAACAAAGGGGATGAAACAGCTCGGAATGAAACAGCCCGATAAAAAAATAGGTTGTGATGAAACAGCCCGAGATGAAACAGTCGTGGGATGAACTGACCCGCACCCCTACTAATTACATTAGAAGAAGGAAAAGGTTAAGCTGGTCAGTAAACTTTACTTGATTCCATAACCCATAATATTGACAGGATTATACGCCCCCCCCCCTCCAACAAAAACAAAACAATTTGAACGTTCGTTATATCATAATTGTAGTTTGTCAATATACATTATGTTTTATTCTAAAACTTTGGATACTGCCATTTTATGATTTCTTATAATTTTCAGTTCGTCAGAATGTATCATTTACGACAGTTGGTTAAAGGGACAATGCGTATTCGAATATTACAAATTGCAATTTCACTTACGAATAAACGTTAACAAATATATTTTGAAGCTTTTACATATATACTGTACTGTATACAAATGTTTAACTGACTAATGTATGCTTTCAGGTATTCAATGTTGTTCCGTATCGCCATCTAGATATACGGTACCTATATAAATATATCAACAACATTATAGGCTTTCTGCCATGTCATAGATTTACGTATACTAATTATCTACTCGCTATTTACAGATAGTGAACTTATATAAATTTTTAAAAAAAACATACCGCGAATGATTCAGGGCTTGTAGTATCTATAGTTCCTTCAACTCGTTTAGCATCTATCACATATAATTTGGTAAATAAAACCAAAACAGACAGAATGTTTACGTTTTTCATTTTTATGTACACTATCCACTCGAGCACTCCACCCGTTTATCCGCCATAGTAAAATATGTCCGTCATGTGGCCCGTTGCTAAGCAACCCATAAACAGTTATACAGGTATTCTCATCGCCGTTCAGGTAAACTGCGTGAAGAGAACCCACACTGCTTTGTATTGTAATTAGAAAGTGATTATAGGACATCGCCAGAGATTATAGCTTGTGTTCATTAGTAATATAGATCCACAGAGAACAATGGCCGTATAAATATAGAATATGTCATGAGTATTGCCATCATTTATAATGACATCGAAGACGAATTTTATTATTAAAATATCTTTTTTTATATAATGCTCTTTGAAGCAAGTTACTTAATGTTTACAGTTTATAAAATACGTATATTAGAGAATAATTAAAAGTAAACCGTCAAGGGCTAAGAGAAAGGAACGCAAAGACGCATTAGGTCATGGGGTTAATTTAGTTTTTTCGACCCCCGCCCCCCACATGAGTTTTTGCGCCCCTCTCAAATGGAAAGATTCACGTGTTCCATTGCGGTTTTCAAAGTTATTGGCAGATTCTGATACAGTTACTGAGATAATGCTACAATTCGACTCGAGTACGTCCCACACAGCCCAAATGTTTTTGTGCAAAATGAACTTGAATGGTGGGATCTCTAATAGTTACGCCTGTCACTAAAAGTTCCTGTAACCGTTTTCTTGTTCCGAAAATTAATACTTCTGACTTATCGTCGTTTAATTTTTGTTTATTTATGTCCATCCATGATTTTTTTTCATAGAATACTGGGTACTATGCTTATCCAACAGTTCTGAAAGAGTCTTTTTGTAATATTCACACAAACTGACAACACCGCTCGGTCTCTATGTGTATGTAGGGTAGGAAATATGTTGTATCAAACTGAACGATTGAAGAATTTTTCTAGATTTCTGTGTAGTTGAATTTTTGAAAATTAAAGTCACCAAGGAAAAGGGAAGTTGTTCTATTTGGACACAGGTGGACGATAAAAACGGATAACATGAACTGGCACACTGTAAGAACTGATCTTAACATGAAGTGATTCGAAACAATTATATTTCCATGACTTGTTATTTAGAATTTCAAGTTTTGGTTCCAATTTAAAGATAACCGCTTGACTTTAAATTTATACACAGTGTTTAAAGTCATGAGACGAAGAAGCCTAATGATTTTCAGCTATTTCCAATGATTACTGCCAGAGTTATGGCCCATGATCACTTCAAAAATATTGTGGACACTCTAGAGGCTACAGTTAATATCCGATTGAATTTCAATTTATACACAGTATTTAAGGTCATGAGACGAAGAAGCCTGTTGATTTTCAGCGAGTTCCGATAATTACTGCCAAAGACTAAAGTTAATAGCCGATTGACTTTAAATTTATACACAGTGTTTAAGGTCATGAGATGAAGAAGCCTATTGATTTTCTGCGATTTTCAATAATTACTGCCAGAGTTATGGCCCTTGATCACTTGAAAAAATCTTGTGGACGCTCTAGAGGCTAAAATAAATATCTGATTGACTTTAATTTTATACACAGTGTTTAAGGTCATGAAAGAAAGAAGTCTATTGATTTTCAACGATTTCCAATTATTACTGCCAAAGCTATGGCCCTTGATCACTTTGAAAAATCTTGTGACGCTCTAGAGGCTAAAGTTATCATCCGCTTGACTTCAGATTGATACACAGTGTTTAAGGTCTTGAGACGAACAAGTATATTGATTTTCATTGAATTTTGATAACTTGAACAGCTAAATCCACGATATTAAATGTTTCGTATACTAAACGTTGGCATGTGGCAGAACTTTATAAAAACCAAACAAATTCTAATGATTTCCTGATAATTACTTAATGAGTTGTTACTCTTAATCAGATTTTAGTGTATTATAAATGTTTTATTACCGCAAAAAGTAAAAATATGCGACAACTCTTGTTGACTGCTCGGACGATTTAGCTGCCGTGGGCGTAATATCTTCTCTGCAGCAGCCATGTTGATTGTAATGTTACGTGATTATGTCGAATTTGGAATTTGCAATTTCGCATTTGAAACTTGGAATTTCGCATTTGGAATTTGCAATTTCAAATCTAATAATTTGGAACGGGTGTTTATCCGTCCCAGACATCAGATAGGTAAACTAACACTAATTAGTTGTGTGAAATTACAATTTATTTAAATTCTAATTTGTTTAATTGAGGGGGGCTGCCAATTTGCTATTTTTTTCTTTTGATTGGTAAGACATGAATTTGCAATTGTGGACAGACGGGGGCGACGACAATATACGACCACATTATAGGATCGCATTTGGAATTTGGGATTTCGCATTTGGAATTTGGAATTTGGAATGAGCCTTCTGGGCTTTCGTATTTTAAGGCATAGTTTCATTACATCAATACAGCCATTGACAACCACTACAAGAACGCAAATCGGGGGAAACCAGCCTTGACGGCTTGTTGATTATAATATAGTCTTCTATTAACCACATTACAGCTGGGAATCAAGAGTATATACTCTATATGTTTTTTGAAAGAATCGATATTTCTGTCAAAACCATGTACACGCGACCTCGGATTTTCGTGCCATCCGAATTACTAGACATTGTTCCTTGCAAAGCCCCCAGCCCGCACAACTGACGAGGGGAATTACTGGAAAACCCCTTAATTACTGATTTATTATTTTTGTTAACACTAATTGCTATAAATTAGATATGCCAACTCTTGAACCCGGGCTTTTGTTACAGAATTAATTACGATTTAATCAAGCAAAGCTCTTATAACAATGTCAGGGAGTTAAAATAACTGATAAGAAATCGGTATTTGTTACATTATTTATTATATACCACGCACAGAGTAACACGTATCTAATTAATGTCATGTACAAAGTCACAGTAAACCCTGGTAATCATATGCTTTGATTATTTGTCCTAATAATTATCGATAAACTCAAGTACGGTGAGTTCCATTCCGATCTTATATAATGTCATTTATTTTATCTCGTGTGATTTCTATAGTAATACCGGACATCTTTGTGATCGTAAATATAACTACAGGTTATTATTAAAACTGCTTGGCGTCGATGTTCCTCGTTCTCAATGATAGTATTTGATATATATTTTGACAATGGTAAGGATTTTACCAAAATATCATTTTTTTTTATTTATATAAATATATCACTCAAATTCATTTGAGTAGGCCTACGTGTAATTTGACTCTCTAGAAAGTGTGTACCAAATAATTAGTTAAAGATACAATATGGTCGCAATGACCGCAGTATTACATCTCATCTGGGCACCCACTGCTAAAGACCACTACTCACAATCGATGTATTGTTCTGCTCCGACTGGTCTTTGCTCCGACTGGGCTATGAAGACGGGCATACGCCATACAGTGTGCTATGAGAGAAATTTTGCTACGGCCTACTCTTATATCGAATTCCAACCGCCAGGGGATCTTTTACTTGCACTCCAATGTGTACGCGGGGCCCGTTTTTCGTCCCGTCCTGCACCACTGACAAGGAGAAACCACACCGGAAAATCGATTTATTGAAACAAAATACCATATACCATTTGTCAGCCCCGAAATGAAGTAGTTTGTGTTGAGTTAAGTTATGGTCATACACACAGACTAACATTCCAAGGCGCCATCTTTTTGATTCCAGTACACAGTCTTTTACTATTTTACCTTGAACGTCATATTTTCAAAGTGCGAATATTTTACAGGACATTGTTTTTGCTAAAAAGTTATATAGTATGTTAACTGGGACATAAGGAATAAATGAAATGCTGGGGTTTAACGTCCTAATGTTCTGTAGCAAACGGGATAATAAAGACGGACCTAAAGGAGGACCAATTTAAAGGGCCAATCCCGATAATATTTTGGAGAATAAAACTGCTTAATTTTGGGTTAAAATCCTATAAAAGCCTCCACCTTAGGGCCGAGCAACTAACTGAATATATGTGATACGTTTTCAAACAACTTAAACCCGTCAATCTTCATCTGGAAATGGAAACCAACGCCCCATGCTGTATTATGCGGTGTCTGGATAAAACCAAGACTTTTATTTTATAACAGTAATGTGTCGGTGAAATTTACCTTTCGTTATCAAGTATAGCACATGGGTCATTCACTGTATAAACCTCAAGAGGAACGGGAATCACCCGTCGAAAAATTGACCCGAAATCTTAAAAGGGTTACGTGTCCGGATAAGCAGTTTTGAAGTTCACGTCCAAACGACTCAATATTTTGAGCTACAATTTTGAGAAGGGGAATATACAACATTCCTCTATATTTTGGCGTTTAAATTTCATACGTACTCGGACTTATATTTTGTAGACTCTGTTCAAATCGAGATAGTCCCTTTAAGTTCGGTATTCAGTCAAAACATTTTTAAACTAAGTAGCATTGTTCAGTGAGAAAGCGGATTTATTGTCCATTCGACACTAAAGCCATTTTCAAACCAACAACAGGGTACTTTTGTATTTCAAACATTCGTTCGTGTGTGTGGGTGTGTGGGTGTGTGTGTGTGGGTGGGTGTGTGTGTGGCGGGGGTGTGGCGGGGTGGGGTGGGGCGGGGTTCGAACAACCATCTAATTAAACCTGGCTTTGTGGATTAAAGAATTAAACCAGCTGGTCTGTAGTTATGCAGGCCCATACCCTGCTTTCCTCAATTCATAAGACCAGAATACTGGAAAGTAACTGATTCACGACACTTAGACATGTCTTCAATGATATTGGAAAATGAAATGAAATAAAATGGAGAGTAACGCTAACTTAGAAAACTTAAAGAATTTTCCAGGAACCGTTTCCTGAAATATATAGCAATAAACCTAAAATCAAAATACAACATTACAAGAACACGTGAAACTGAATCAAATAAGAAATATTATATATCTGATTAATTTATTTTATTATATTACTTTATACATAATGTTACGAGCAATCAATGTATATAAATCTAGATATAATAAATAAACGCGAGTTATGTACAAATGTTAAAATAATCATTTTGGTGAATAATGAAATTAGTTAAAGAGATATGGTATTTCAGGTTTTGTTTTAAGGAGTGACGTAATTCACAATTCCATTTGCAACACACTCGAGAAACCAACCATTTTATCGAGCTATGGCGGGCTCATACTTTTGGGGGAAGTTAGTTCCCCTTGGGTGGATTAGACCCCCCCCCCCCACCGACTTATCATTGTTCAACAAATCCTTGACCCAACACAGCCCGGATTATTTCAAATACTCAGTTTTTACCAACTTAAAAAATAATTGAAACTTGATCAGCAACCAAGTAAAAATAATCCCCTGTCCAATGTAACGAGTGTCATTTAATTAAACTCTTTGGCATTTCAAAATGAACATACGGCACCATTCTTTATTTAGCAAATATACATATTAAGCTATATGTAATTGTTAACAAAATAGTCATTGGTGTTAAAATAAACTTTTAAAATCAATCATTTATGAAACAGGACAGAATCGTCTTATGATAACATTTTTAGGGTGATATGTTTATGCTTTGCGTGTCCTTCAATAATTTTAACAATGTTACAAGTAGGTGATTCTATGATTTATTAACAACAGGTGTAGACACGTACTACTTTGACTACCCGTCGTAAATGATATATATATATTTTTAAAAAAAAAATGGCACGGAGTATATTACACGTAAACCTTAAAATGAGTTGAACACAATATGTATATATTATTTTTAAATATAGACCAGGAACAAATAAATATAGGCTTACATAAATTATCGTTATTGATAATTCAAACCAATTATGGATCTTAAACATACATTATGGAAGATCAGATAAAGAGCTGGCAGTTCTCACTATAATAGTTAAAAACTAGATAATGTAAGGATAATATACTGAATATTTCAGTCAAATTGCTCCACTCTGAACCGAGATATTAGCGATTGATTTTAGCCTCGATCATCATTACTAAAGTCAGTACGATAAAAAACATAGTCTCGATTATCCAATCAAATCCCGTGACAATCCTACACGACATCGGGAGTTGATTAATTTCTTTTCATGTTAATAAACATAATTAATAGTTTATATAACATTTCAGGTCTAAAGAAAGACCTACAATAGTCAGATTTAGCTCTTACATAATATATGTTTAAGTCTGATTTATTAAAATGACGAAGTTATCCATTGTCTTTATTATATCTGAGCGAAGTTATTTGGAATATGATCGTAGTAAAACTGTTCTTTGTTTTGTCTTTTATAAGTACGTGAATACGGATCATCTTCCACTCGCCGTTTACTGTTTTCTTGATTATAATTTACGTTGTAAAAATCTCCCACCCCACCGTATGAGTGGTATGGGTATTGCGTTTCGTTCGTTGCTGGCGTTCCAACTTGTTTTCCGGTTTGATCGTACGTGTAACCGTTGTATTCAAACAGACTTTGTCGTGTTTGTTGGTAAGCAGGATAAGCATTTTGTTCATTCCTGAAAACATATTTTAAGATCATTAAAACAGAAGTCGCCGAAGAAATTAATTAGGAGAGATGTTTTATTTGTTCTCAGACCGACCTCTCTGATTAAGATGCTATCCTAGGATAGCGAAACTACGGTCCAGTGTTAGTCCCGTTCGAATTTGCAAAATTATGTCACAGTTCTGTTAGACCGGATGTACTGTGTGAATAGAAGAGGGCCAATTTGTTTCAGACGGTGTTCAGCTGGAAAATGTTTTATTGGTAATGCAAGACGAGGGTGGGGTGGGGTCTGACAAGAAACAGGGTCTAGTCGTTCAGGTGGGAAATGAAATGAAATAAAATGGGGTTTGACGTCCTACTGTTCTGCTCCAAGCTGGGCTAATGAAGACGGGCATACGCCATACAGTGTGCTATGAGGGAAATTTTGCCCGGACAGCGGCACTACGGCCTACTCTTATATCGAATTCCAACTGTCAAAGGATCTTTTACGTGCACGCCAATGTGTACACGGGACCTCGGTTTTTCGTCCCATCCGAACGACTAGACAGCTGTCCTTGTCAGGCCCTCCGTCCTGCATCACTGACAAGGGGGAACCACGCCGGAAAATCCGGATGAACTTTCTCGGCCAATGCAGGGATCGAACACCCGACCTCCAGGCTAGCCGTTCAGGTGGGATGAGAAACCGGGGTCCCATGGCCCTTGAAGAGTTGACCTGTTGGTGCAGAAAAATAGGACGGTAAACTTCATTTGATTTGTCGCCCGTAATTTATTGTCTGATTATTAGATTGGGACCATTCGTCAGATTGAGATAATCCAGTTCGGGTATCCTCCAAGTCAGTTCGTACCGGTTAAAAATAATTCTAACAAATGACACACCAGTCTGAGGATTGTTAGTCTAGTCTGATAAGACGAGTAGAGAAGGAATTAGCTGGTATTTTATTCAATCAATGATGGAAGCTTAAACTTACATTCTCATAACAACGGCCATGTTTTCTCCACCACCCGTTTGTTGCTGACGTGACCAATCAGATGGTGTTGTTACTTGACGTACTCCAGTTTGCCCTGTTCTTATCGTATCATCATATAACTATAGAAAAAAACACACAACACACATGGAAATTCATATTAATTATTTAATGATGATCTCAATTTCATATTACAATCTCAATTCGATTTAACCCTGATAAGAAATACTAATTAATGAATAACTGTGGTTAGAATTAACCGAGAAGTATCAGATATATTTCAGTGAATAAAAATATTTTAAGTTACATGGGACATATTATACCGCGTAGGTGTACGTTCAATTTTATTTTGATGGGCGTTTATCAGTTCAGTCACAGACCTCATGATAATATACTGTTTTGATCAGTCATTCAGAAATCAGAACTTTGGTGGGATTTTTGTAAATGTTGGACACCTTAAACAATCACTAACGTAGCCTGTAGATTCATGCCTGGACGGCCAACCTCACCATACAGCGCAAAAGGCACATTCCTTACATGATAAATTATGAAAGATGGACTGATCAAACGATTAAGGATATATGCAGGCGCGGATCCGGGGGATGGGGGGGGGGGGGGGTTGCAGTGGCGAACAATTTGCGGGAAAGGAGAACAAAAATACTTAAAAATGGTAATGATCCACGTCGTAATTTACTCCGAAACGATCCGGTTGGTGACTTGGTTGATTGCCGTCAGTCCACCCACCGAGGGCCGGGCTTCGCACTTCCAAGTGGGGGCAGCACGCCCCCCCCCCATCTGAAAATGCTGGATCCGTCCCTGATATGTAAGAGCTGTATGCAGTCTAGCTTTATTTATATACAATTCTCCACCTGAGTTACACTGTAAAAGCTTTTTTAATATAATCAGTCAATACAGATATAACAGAGAAAGTGTATTTTCCCTTGCGAATCTGCGACTCATAGTGTAATAATGTTTCATTTTTTAATACTTTCTATGATCTGTACGCAATATAGATTTGACCGGTTTCCGTAAAACGTCGTGTCAGAGATCAACATCTGCTTCTACAGTAGTAATTTCGTAGACAACCAACTTTGACTGAATGGCTTAGGCAATTTATAAGTGACCATTGTTTTGTTCTCTTTTCGTTTACTTGACTCCAAGAATTCCATGCACACCAAAGATAAGTCTTTTAATTAAACAGGCCATTTCACTGGCTAATCAATTAAAAGAACACAGTTTATTTAAATCTTTCCCAGTTCCGTGTGCACGAAAACAAATAAAACGAAATTGGACCTATAAAAAAGAAACAAAATTGGATCTATGCTTAAATTATATTGTTACATTACCTGTGCCGTTGCAAGATCAAATGTAGATTGTACATGATTTTTGTTGTTGTTAATTTGGCCATATTGGTTACCATAGTTACTACAGCTAGAAAAGGAAATATTGCTACTAAAAAGAAACATAATTTATATTTGTAATAATATTATGTCAGATTATGATATTTGTAATTAAAAATACTTTTCATTTAGAAAGCTAATGTCACTATACAAGAAAAACAATATATGTACCAAGGCACAATCTTAACCAATGACCGTTTTCATTAGCCCAGTCTCTTTAGAGCAGTAGGTCGTTAAACCCCCAATTTCATTTCATAACCAATGAAAGATATCACGATAATCAAATCATAAACTTGATCTTTAAACAAACAATTTATTTTGTGAACTTAAAGATGGATTATGCAAGAGCTAAATCTGCCTATATTGTAGGTCTTTCTTTTGGACTCAAATGTTATATAAGTTGTTAATTAGACATTTATTTACATGACAAGCTCTTCATTAATGGATTGAAACACGGTCGCCATTTAATAATTTAATTTAAAAATTATTGTAACAACAATGCAAACCGATACTACGCTATTTTTATCAAACTCTTAAGCAGTGGTAACTTTGCTCAGAATAAAGTAATTTGATTGAAAATTTCAATATATTCCCTTTTCATTATCTATTTTAAAACTATTAAAGCGAAAACTGTCAGCTCCTTTATCTGAATCATAAATAATGCATCTTTAACACAGGTACAATTTTAACTACTGAATTTATGACAACGCATAGTAATAAAAACAACATTGTCCTTGTTTAAATATGTTTAATGACTAAGTGCTTATCAAAGAAATTTCAAATCACCTTGTATTTGTTGTTAGTTGACGAGATCTTGGAGAGTCTAATAATTTATCTGTTTGGTTGTATACTGATGTAATGTCTTCATGTATTTCATTATTTACATAACCTTCAACATAAATAATAAATAAACTAATTTTAATTAGTTAAAATAACAGGTCGTCTATTGCTGGCATTGTTACTTGTATATTTAATCATTTATGCATAGAAAAATTATATGGGTAACTCATTATATGTCCAAGGTATATTTAACTAGGTTGTTAAAAATATGTTGAATAATAACATGGGTAACTCATTATATGTCCAAGGTATATTTTAACTAGGTTGTTAAAAATATGTTGAGAAATAACATGGGTAACTCATTATATGTCCAAGGTATATTTTAACTAGGTTGTTAAAAATATGTTGAGAATCCTATAGTTACATGACCATATTATATTTATGCTAAGGATGTATTCATCATGACATTAATTGCATCATTACGATACATGTATATTTCATATAACCTAAATGTGGACTGACAAGGTCACCTTTAAAATAGAGTCACGTTTAAAAAATAGCTAAACGTGACAAATAAGAGCTGAAATCGGAACATTTCCGAAGTCCATTTCTGCTAAAAAGTTATATTGCACGTTTTGTTACTATTTTTTTTATCACCGACACAAAAATCAGAAATGACGCAAAGAAAGAATGAGTGTCTATTATCAAAGTCACAGTGGTTTCTTACCAGAAGTGCCTAGTATGCCTCTGGTGGTTGTGATGACTGAGCCTCGATCCTGATTAGACATGGCGGTTGTCATGGCGGCATCTATTTCTGGTAACTGTATATCTTCTTTTATAATAAATTGTTCTAGAATTATGCCTGCAACAAAGTGTTCGAAAATGTTACAATCACAGGCCTACGATGGACCTAAACTTCTAATAAAATTATAGACAGTAAATGAAAACGTGTGATCTTCAAGGCTGACTGTATATAATACTAATTATTACCTGTATCTTCGCCTTTTATTGTTCGTAAAAAGTCATTTCCTTTCTCTTGTCCGTGTAAACTTTCTACTAAATACAGCACATAATCATCAAACATGAGATGTAGTAGATGAAAAGAACCTGTAATATTTAAATTTAATGCAAATATATATCTATAATCACAGCTGTGTCTAATGCATACATTTTTGCCATTACACAGAATTTGAATAACATTTATTCCAGCTATAATATTGTTGTTTTTTTTTCTATAGAAAACAAACTATGAGAAGAAATAAAAAATAAAATGCCGCGAGATCACCAAATCTGGCAATGTCCCTTTAAAAAAAAACCCTTAACAACACAATGATATTGTTATCTCTTTTTTTCAGCTGATCTGATGTTTCAGGAGAAACAGTTTAAAAGGTATTTTTATGGTTTGCAGATTTTGAATATTGGCTTAATCCCCAGCTAGTTGTTCAGAAAATATAAATGCGACATTGCGTTTGCTATCATAAACCGGGGGGGGGGGGTGGCCGAATGGTTAGCGCATGCGTGTTGTATCATAAGGTCTGCCATTGGGTCAACTGGCGTGGTTTCGATTCCCCGGAAGTACGTGACAACAAGGAGTATGGTCGCCTGTCCAACCTCGTGGGTTTTCTCCGGGTCCTCCGGTTTCCTCTCACTGCAAAAGACCCCTACGCGCAAGCGAATTATTGAAGTAGGGTTGAACCATGTGTTAGTCCAGAAATGACCAGGTTTGTGTCGAGTGGACGTTAAACTGTAGTTTGCCATGAGGGAAATAGCGGGGTTTCCAACGGGAACTCGTCTTTTAGTCTCAGCCGAACGACTAGTCACGGGTCCTTGCCAGGCCATTAGTGCTGCACCACTGTCAAGGGAAAACACGCTGGGAACTTTCTCGGCCATTCGAACCCCCTACCCCTGATTAGTGAGCCTTACTCCCGCCAAATCATCCACATTTTGGGGTTCTCAATGGGGCAAAGATATTCTACTTACCGAAACTAGGAGCACTATGTAATGTCATATCACGAATAACTCTCGTACCAAAACAAGACCACATTAACAAAAACTGACGAGCTATTTTTCGCAACGTTCCAGACTTCTGAGAACTAAGCTAAAGATACAAAAATATTAATTCATAAAATTTCACCGAAAGGAATACAACTGTAACGAATGATAAAAAAACCATTATAAATATAAGTTGAGAAAAAATGTTGAACTCCTTTGACAATGGTTAAATCAAACTTGTGCAGCCAGTAAAAGCGGAGTTATCTCCCCTACAAGTGATCTCGTAAGCGTTATAAATAATCAATTTATAAAAGGTCTAGTTTACTAAATCACTAATAAAGTATTTTTTGTGTATGGAACAGACAAATGGGAATGTTTAACAAACCTGAACTATACATCTATCTACCATACTATCTAACCAATCGATATACGACTCTATTGTAGAATGTTCTTCTAATAACTTCTCAAACTCACTACATACTGTAACACATTCAATATTAAATCATAAGAAATACAACAGAAACTGAATGAGCAATACACAATATCACATTCACAAATAAATCTGTGATCAATACAGATGGAGGACACTCTTTGGGTATGAAGACTATAAAATATCCCAAGTTATTGTTTTGTAAATCGAAAAATAATATGTTGATAAAAAAAATCGGTGATGTTTCCTGAATACTATTTAAGAGAAGGATATATTGTTTAGAGCAATTATATTATATCGAATACGTTAATTAGAAGGCAATTAAGGCCTAGTTATTTGGGTGGAACGAAAAACCGAGGTCCACCTGTGTACTTATTGACGTGCAAGTAAAAGAACCGTTGACATTCAATTGGAATTTTATAACTGTAGGAAACGCTCGTCTTCATTGTCCGTTTCATGAAGCGCGCGTTTAGTTACGTACACATTAGTTCAATATAGATGTACATTAAAATTTTAGATTTGCGTTTACGTAGATCTTACATGTGCTTTGTAAAACGAGTAATCGTTCTGATGGGAAAGAAACAAAGGTCCCGTGTACACATTGGCGTGCACTACAAAACAACCATTGGCAGTTGGAAAATGAAATGAAATGAAATGGGGTTTAACGTCCTACTGTTCTGCTCCTAAACTGGGCTAATGAAGACGGGCATACGCCATACAGTGTGCGATGGGGGAAATTTTGCCCGGGCAGCGGCACTACGGCCTACCCCATTGGCTGTTGGAATTCGATATCAGAATAGGCCGTAGCACACTGTATGGCGTATGCCCGTCTTCATTAGCCCAGTCGCTGCAGAACAGTAGAATGTTAAATCCCATTTCATTTCAATTGTGAAACGAGACCCTAATATACTATTCAAAAAAAGTAGGGGATATTTGATTTTTAAGTGTTATTAAAGTCACCTAATGAAACTGACGAAGAAACAAATGACAAAATGAAATGAAGTTCACATTCATCGATTTATTCCAAATGATCGTTAGACTAAGTAAGGCACAGACTGACCATTATAAGGGTAAAATGATACCCGGGGTCAAACAGCAAAGTTACCACAGCATCACAACCAAGTCAGTAACGGGTAAATCCTCCTCTGTTTGCCAAACAAGCATTGATCCGACGTGGCATACTCCTAATGAGACGTCTAAGGTCATTTTGGTCCAGATTGTCCCATTCCTGTTGCAACGCAGCAGCAAGTTCTTGGACATTGGCAGGACGTTGTTGACGTTGACGTAACCTCTGTCCAAGCATGTCCCAGACATGCTCGATGGGGGAGAGGTCGGGACTCAGTGCTGGCCAAAGTAATGTGGTGATGTTCTGTTGTTGGAGGTAACCTGTAACGATCCTGGCCCTGTGACATCTTGCGTTGTCATCCTGGAAGATGAAACGGCGGCCATGACGTCGTGCGAACGGCACAACATGGACTGCCAAGATGTTGTCCCGGTAGTACTGGCCTGTAACACGCCCTGCAACAACATGTAAAGCCGTTCTTCAAGCAACAGTGATGTCTCCCCACACCATAACAGAACCACCCCCAAATCAATCATGTCTGATGACGTTAACGTCTTGGAAGCGCTCGTTTCGACGACGCCACACCCCCCTACGTCTGTCCAAAAAATCAACAGTGTACCTTGACTCATCTGAAAACATCACATTGCTCCAGCGTCGATTATCCCAGTGTTGACGATCCCTACACCAACGACGTCTTGCCTGAATGTGATGATCTCTCAAACAAGGGATCACGCGAGGACGTCGGGCGCGAAGGTGACCCCTATGCAGTCGATTCCGAATCGTCTGGCCACTCACTCTCACACCAGTGTCTGTTTGAAGACGAGCGCTGATCTGATTTGCTGTGATGACGCGATTTCTCAAGGCCAAGGTAAGGATAAATTGATCCTGGGCTTGAGTTATCGCCCTTGGTCGACCTGAGCGTGGTCTGTCCTGTACAGATTGTGTATCACGGTATCTGGACCATAGCCTGCTTATGACAGACTGAGAAACATTCATCGTCCGCGCCACAACCGCCTGTGTTGTGCCGATCTGTAGCATGCCAAGGGCACGTAACCTTTCATTTTGGGTAAGCCGACGCATATCAAAATTTGTTTTCTGGTCACTAAAACAATTAAACTGATGTTTCCACCCTGGAATTCAATGCCACAATGACTGTAACATTCAAAGTCAGAGTCGTGCAAATCTTGGGTTGGACCCCCATGATGATCCCAAGCATCACCTGCATTCCATGCGGTAGCTATTGGTGCGTTTGGGCGTCACATGTAACTGGAAATGTTTCTTCTGTTAGGTTCTATAGTGACTTTTTTCGTAGTCATTTGCATATTTTAGTATTATGCCCCCAAAATCAAATATCCCCTACTTTTTTTGAATAGTATATATATCCAAACATCATGTTCAGTGAGGTTTTTCTCGGCTATTCTTTGCCTCCCATTGCCAAAGGAAGACGGGACCGCCGGCAAATGAATTAATGAAGTATTATCTCCGTCTAAATTAACCCTACTGTACTTAAACCCATACCACTCGCCCATGGTACAACATATAGTTAGATTTGGTAAATGCGGAAGGAACCACATACACATGAGATTTAAAATATTACTAACAATTTACAATGATGGTATGGTCTTTTTCTGTATATTGGTCCATGGTATATAAGGTCTGTTTTATAATACTGTTTAAATCGATGTTTAACCAGTCGTCGAGCATCTGGGATGTGATATCAGTACTGTGGATTACCGTCCTCGCCGCCTGACATAAATGGTTTAACGATGTTTGACGTCTGAGAACTTGTGAAAAACGTCGTGCGACTGAAATTACGAATAAATATCTTAGAAATTCGTAAGTTATTTTTTTTGTTTAGCAATTACATAAAATAAAGCCAATGGCATTAGAATTTACAATAAGTAAATCATTATTTTTTTTCAAAAAATTTATAAGGGTCTTTGGTTTTGGTAAATAATTGGTGTAATATATATAAAGATAGCTGCTATGGTTCAGCCAGGGTCACTTCAAAAATGGAAAATCTCTCTCAAAAATAACATTAAGTTGAGACTAAATATTATGCCTAAAGTCTCTTACCGCCATATTCATATTAGCGCGATAATCATATTCAGGGTCAAATAACTCGTTTGAAATCGCTTTTTATCAGTAGAAATACTAAAGGTAAGAAACAACCCCCTTTCTCTTTAATTATCTCCAATATCAACTCCGTTTGGCCAGCATAGAATTTGAACGTGGTGATGAAATGATTCCACGATGTTGGCGAAAAGCGTATGCTAAAAAATGTTTACAGAGTAAGGTCAATGTTTTTCATGCCCCATCTGATTTATTGCACCATAAATGTACCCCCCCCCCCCAAAAAAAAAAAACCAACCCAACACAATATTCTTCTTGATACTATTTTGATAGATGTCATGGTAAAAAAGAACAAAGCTTACGATCAAATTTGATTTTCTTGAGAGTTTCTGGTAAAGAATTTAAAGAGACTATCAACCACTCATCTAGTTGTTTAGCAAATCGCCGTATTACTTGTGTTAAACTGAAATGTCAAAGAAGAAAAACATTAGCATACATACATATTCATAAAGATTTTTACTCGCAAGCTGGGTCTGAAATCCCTGAAAATTTGTCAGGCTTCTAAATTGAACATAGGGACAAACTTTTTTAGGAACCTATCCATCAACATTTTGGTAATGCGAACATTTTTGAAAATAATACTGGTTTTCTTTTACGACATCACTCAAGAATATAAAATCGGAATGGACATACTTGACATCATTAAATAAACTCCAGACGTGTCTTACCTTTCTGGAAGAGCTTGTAGAACAGTGGGCATGAGAACACTAGATATAGCTTTATACAATATAGAATCACAAACACCAACTAACATAACAATAGTAGGGGAATCTAAAATCGGTACAATGTGACTTGGCATACCCTGCCAAAAATGTATTAAGAAGTTCTGCACCTAAAATGGAAAAATATGCCAAATTATTCGTAATTATCGTTTTCGCGTAATTAAGTATCGACAAAGGTATCAAAGAAAGTTCACCATCGCCGTGTACTTTGTGGTTTGAGAGTTACCCAATTTCCCTTTTGTACAATAGTTTAAAAGAGTGCTCAAGTCATTTGATACGTGAAAGATATTTATATTTACGTTATACCAAATGGATATATTATCTAAAGTTAAGCTTATTTATTGGATATTTACGTTATATCAAATAAATATATTATTTATAGCAGGATATCCGGCTTCGCTCGGGGGTCATAACTCCGAAACCGGAAGTGGTAGACTAACGCCACCTGGCCTATGTTACTCCCCGGTCCGAGCTACCCCTATACCCCAAATTTCAGACTCGGGGCAGACCTAGTGTAGCCGCCAACCCCGAACAGACAGACTTCGCTCGGGGGTCATAACTCCGAAACCGGAAGTGGTAGACTAACGTCACCTGGCCTATGTCACTCCCCGGTCCGAGCTACCCCTATACCCCAAATTTCAGACTCGGGGAAGACCTAGTGTAGCCGGCAACCCCGAACAGACTGGCTTCGCTCGGGGGTCAGAACTCTGAAACCGGAAGTGGTAGACTAACGCCACCTGGCCTATGTTACTCCCCGGTCCAAACTACCCCTATGCCCCAAATTTCAGACTCGGGGCAGATGTAGCCGCCAACATCGAACAAACAGACTTCGCTCGGGGGTCATAACTCCGAAACCGGAAGTGGTAGACTAACGCCACCTGTCCTATGTTACTCCCCGGTCCGAGCTACCCCTATACCCCAGACAGACAGACAGACAAACAACAGTCACAAATATTAGTATAGATAAGCCCGCACCTCATCAAAATTAGCTCTGATAACTGTATCTAAAATTCTCTGACAATGTGTTCTGTACATAACAAGAAATGTAGCCACCTGAAATGAAAACAATAACAAGCAATAAAATACCTATTGTTGTTAAATTTTGCCTTTTTTATAAAATGGATATGGGCAATTTAACCAGCGGCTGTTTGGCAAGATACGCCCAAATTTTACAAGAGATGGATAGAGAACAAGCTAACAAAACGCAATTTTTCGTACAATCAGGAGCCATAATCCAAGAAGTTATTGTCTGAAATGCGCGAATAACGAAATGGACTGAAATCTTTGGGATATAAAGACATATTTTAAGTTTCATCAAAATCGGACAAAAATTGTGACCAGAAGCGGGTCCACAACTTTCATATTACATACAAGAAGCTAACAAGGAGCAGCCATTTTGTAGGGCAGTTTCCTTTCGATTTTCCCGAAATTCAACCTTCATTATGGTAAACCGGTGATATATTGAAACGGGTTTTTAAAATCTGATAAAAAATTGTGTCCTCTAGAGGATCCATGAGATAAAAATGTGATTATTCGTACAATCAGGGGCCATAATCCAGCTAGTTATGGTAAACAGGGATATAAACAAATGTTATAAGTTTCATCCAATTGGATAAAAATTGTGACCTCTAGATGGCCCACAACCTTGATATACTTTAACACTATTTTCTCACATGGAACCGACATTTTATCCTACAGTTTCGTTCCGATTTTCACGAAATTCGAACTCAACCATCACAATGGTGTAACGGTGATATATTTAAACGGTTTGTTGAATCGGATAAAAATTATGACCTCTAGAGGGGCCACACGCTAAAGACGCGATTTTTTGTTTAATTAGGGGCCATAATCCAGGAAGTTATGGTCCGATAAGCGCGAATATCGAAAGGAACCAAGATCGTTGGGGTATAAACATATATTTCAAGTTTCATCAAAATCGGATAAAAATTGTGACCTCTAGAGTGTCTACAAGTTAAAAGCGTGATTTCTCGTAATATCAGGGGCCATAATCCATGACGTTACGATCCGATACATGCTATCGAAAGGAACCGAGATCTTTGGGAGATAAACCTTTATTTCAAGTTTCGTCAAAATCGGATAAAATTGTGACCTGTAGAGTGTCCACAAATAAATCGTTTGAACATTTCGGTACATCTGTAGACGGGACTGCATGTTTAAGCAACACGTCCATCCATTATCGTTGTCTTTCGTTGAGTTATACACTTGTATTATGTAGAAGCAATAGGCACTTTGACACCATCAACAATATCTTCTCAGTACCCATCTACATATTGTATCTGTTTTAAACTACAGCCTACATGTACACTCAACTAAATGTACCTCTACTAACTGTTCTAAATTAAATCATACCCAACTACGTGTAGATGTTTTTGAAATTCAGTTTATACTCAATGAAATTCATCTCGATTTGGACCTCCTGGTTAGTGAGCCAATGCCTTAATCGCTGAGCCACCGCGGCTCCCAAACTGCAAACGATCTAAACAGAATTTTGCAAATTTATAAAAGCCTACCTTATCTTCACCAACATCTTGTGGCATTTTAATATCCTTAACATCAGGAAAGTCTGGTAATAAAGTTCCTAACTTAGACCTTGGAGAATAAGCAACGGGCTGAAAAAGTTTAACCAAGAAAGAACATATGAAAAATCTAGACAAATACAGTAGTCAACATATCGTGTTAAATATCACAGGTATTTTGAGTTTGATACAATTCGATTAAAGTTAAGGTGACAAATATGGAATTGATTTTATCTTTTTAAATTCCAAAATAACTTGTGTTTACCTTATTGCTAACCTCCTTCTTGCCTTCACCATGACTATAATAAAGAACAATACACACACTAGAATATTTACAAATACAAGGGTCCATGCATATTATGATATTATTTACAAAAAATGGCGGTGTTCTTGGGTTATCTTGGGATAAATCCAGATTTTAAAGAAGTCAAATAAAATCATAATTTGCAAAACCTAATAGTCTAAATTATGCCAAGAAGCCAAATGCAAGGATTCAACCTGAGATACCCTTAGAATTGCTGCCATAGAAAGGCCCACATGATGCAATGCTGTGAAATTTCTAGTTAGCAGTAAACCAGCGTGCTATAACCTAGCACTGCATTGTATATCCCGGCACTTTCTTCTAAGATAGATAAATTATGCTACCAAAATACACCATAATAATATATATAGGATACATATATTGCTCCAATCCCCGACAAAAATGAATAGCTTACCTTTGAACGCCTTTAGCTGAATACATAATATCATAATATGTTGATGTTTCACGCACACCAATCCCATAGTAATGATATCTGAAAGTAAAATTTAAAATATGGCATCAATACATACCTAATAAAATGTACTTCAACTGTCTACAAATAGTACAGAAATTGCATGGCAAAGTTGTGCATTGTGTACCAGAATTATCGGGTATGTCAAGATGAATAAAAAATTGTTAGCTACGTGAAATCAGGATAAAAAATGGTTATCGTAACTTACTTTGACTGGCCTCTTGTACCAAGTCTTCTAGTAGTTATTTGTGGAAACTGTTGCCGTATTATCTAAAATAAAAGGGCAGTTTTAAAGTTCAAAGTATATGCTTTAACGGACCACAGTAATAACGAATATGACTGTATTTATATATATTACCAAGCGCTTACGAAATCTCAAAGAACTTTTTTTGGATAAAGTAAGGTATGGCTAATCAGTTCTCAATGCACCTTTGCCTAAAACCAATACATCTTCTTTAGAAAGTTTTACATTTAAATTTAGATTGGTTCACAAACGTTTTCACAACCAATAAATTCCCGTGTAACACATCAAAAAGAGAGAGAGAGGGAGAAAAATGGGGTTTAACGTCCACTCGACACAAACTAGGTCATTTCGGGACTAACATATGGTTTAATTTTATTTCAATAATTCGCTTGCGCGTAGGGGTCTTTAGCAGTGGGAGTAAACCGGAGAGAATGCTCCATTTTAGTCAATTTAATACCTATTTACATTAAATCGGAAATAATTTTTACCTACAAATACGTCAAACGCCTTTATTTATTTTTCCAATATATACAAAAAATGTTTTAGAATTTAATTTGTAGCAGGAAAAAAGTTAATATTTCTAGTTCATTAAACCGCATCAATGTCATCCTTATCAGTGATTGTCGCGGCCAAGCAAATATTCACTGCGGATCAGTGTGGGGTAGGCTGGGTAGCAAGCGTAGTAGACTGGGGTGAAGACTAATATGCTCTCAGCACTGCAATAACAGCTTTGCATAAGACACCCACACTGGCCACATTAAATTTTATGCACGAACTGTATCAGTGAGAACACTGAGTAAATTCCTCGCTTACCTTTCCAAAACTAGCAGCATTAATAGGATTACTGTCATTACGTTCACAGAAATCTAAATAATGTAGATATAGAGTACTTCTAGGTATACAAACACCATCAGCTATTTCATAGTTCTCTTCTAACCTAAATATATTCAAATTTTAAGTTTACTCTTTTAGGAACATACGACAGTGTACAGGGAGATAACTATGAGTGGTATAACCAAATTAGATGAGCATCTGTATAACTAAATAATATTGTTAAATTCTCTGTGCGTCATTTACATGTTTCGGAAAATATTTTTTCCACGGCTCATTAATATGTACTCAAATAAATTATTTAACATTTGATTAAGAAAACAAAATCGAAATGCCAACTACCCGCTTGCATTTAATCGGAATAAAGGGGCCCATTAAGATGTGGCATTGGCTTGTGTTGAATGTTGACAAACAAATTCTCAATATCTTTATATACTTATAAATATGCTGCTTGTGATGTATATTTGAGCGGTTGTGGTGTTCATTCGGATTTTAAATGGTTATAGATTCCTCAGGACAATGATTTCGTTGCTGACGAAGCTCTTGTGGTTTCCTGTGGTGGCACTTTGGACTCAAAATTCTTTATTTGTTAGCTTCTGAATACTATTCAAGTGATTTCTTAATTAAACATAAATTATGCAAGAGCTACATCTACCTATTGTAGGTCCTTTTTTAGACCTTTAATGTTATAAATACTATTACTTAGACATTTATTAACCTGACCATAATCAACTCTCGGTGCCACATGATCGGTGCGATTTTAAACAGATTTGAATCCGATCTGTTCATGGATAATCGAGACTTTCTTCATTATCGTAACAACGGTAACAATGACAGTCGAGGTTACAATCTTTTTAAAATTCTGTTTCCTCGGCCCAGAGTGAAGTAATTTGCATGAAATGTTCAGCATATTCTCTTTACGTTATCTACTTTTTAACTATAGCGAGAACTGTCAGCTCAAAGTTCAAAGTTGTTTCTTGAATTGTGAATAATACTATTGTTTATTTCCCTTTGAAGATTACCGTACCTATTACTAAAGGATGCTACAGTATGTTTCTTCCGTGGGAAGGATATCGTCGGATAGTTTAGATTTTATGGCAGTTATCATGAAGGAAAATGATAAAAGTGCGGCATCACACCTGTTCCACTGTATACAATTTACAATAAGTTTGAGACATTAAAGGACGGACTTACCATTTAAGTGTAAGGGGTGTTGAATGTGGTTTCGAGCCTTGTCTTGTTTTGCAAATTTCAACTGAAAACAAACATTATATCATTACTTAATATCATTCTCATTGGGATTTTCTTGATATTTCTGACTGAAATATATATCATACACACACACACACACACACATACCACCACCACCACCACAGAATGTATCATGCATATTCGCTTTACATGTTTAGTAGTACTGCATGTTTAATTCTAAAACCAAACCACCCTTTTGAAGACACAGACATTTTTGATTACCATAACGGTCTGTAAGTTTCCCATTTCACATCAACTTTGTGAACATGTAAAATGGAATATCTCTTTCAAAATTACATTAAGTTGGCGCTAAGTATTAAACCTAAAGTATGTTACGTCCAATTTTTTTATAAGCGAGACAGTCAAATTAAGGGACAAATAACTCGTCTGAAACTGCTTCTCTCAGTATGTGATTACTATAAGATATTATATACACCATCTTAACGAGGTGGAAGCAAAGGTCGCGACCTGGACATTGACCCTACATTCTGTCAACCGGTCGCATTCGGGGCGGACTGGTAAGATCTAGGCCCTCAGACAAACTGGTTTCATTCTGTCCCCACCGCGGTGAAGAACACGTGACATTATATACCAGTCAGTAATCCTATCGATATTTAGCGTTCTGCGTTCTTTCAGAAAACCTCGTGAACACGATAGAAGCTAAAGTCACGTGTTTAATGGATTGTTTCAAACATGGTGCGAATCATTGCATTCATGAGTAGATGGACCCTATCGATAGTCGATGTCTCGCGCCTTTCTTCCGGTCCGGAGTTGGCCGCCCTTGTCCGAATACTTTGTGAAAATGATAGAGGCTATGGGTGTTCTTTTAAAATTTACTGCGAGACATTTGGTTTATGAGAGGACGAACCCTATCGATATTTAGCTTTCCGCGACCTTCCATTCTGGAGTCTACCCCGCCCACCTCGCCAGAAAAGCTTTTTAACGCAATAGAGGCTATAGTTTTTAATTGGTGTTTTTCATTTCTTGGCAAAACTATATAGAGATCAGATTGCATTGGTGTGTGGACCAGCCCTTTTGGTTTCAGCGTTCCGAGACCTTCCGTCAAACAGAAATAACCTCGTTCAGAATAAAGTAATTTGAATGCAATTTTCAATATATTCATTTTGCATTATCTATTTTTGAAGTACTATAACAAGAACGGTCAGCTCTAGCTATCTTTAACGTTATTTATGAAAGAGATTTCTGAAAGAGATTTTTCAATTTAGAATCGTCCATGGTATTTCGAAGCTAACGTCGTGTATAATGTCCTTATAACTTATGTTTTAGTATCTAAGAATGCAAAAAATATAATATAATAGATTTGATTAATACACAAGACGCAATTGTATAGAATACAATAAGTACTGCTTATTACTAATCGATGGTTCGACTGGGCATCTCTAATTATGTTCTAATCTTTATCAAACAATGATAACATATACAATATGATGGGACACTATATGCATGTAAAAACAATAATTAGTTAAAGGAGGTAAGTCTTTAACTCAAAATCATCCTCAGTCTTCGACACTGCAAACACGACTTATTGGTCAATTTAAATCAACATTTATGTTGTTATCTTACCGTGAAAAGATGGGCTTCTGGGGCCGGTTTAGCGAAATTTTAACAAAGATAAAATCCAAATTTTAGTAATTTGATTGGATAAAATTAGATTGATTTTAGTGCTTAGCCAATCAAAATTGAAGTATCTAATAAAATTTTGATTTTATCTTTAGTTAAGATTTCGAGAAACAGGGCCCAGATATCCAATATTTAAGAGACAATGAAAATTTCAAAATTGGCACATGAATCACCAGAATGCTTTCGAGCGCCATTTGTAATGAAGCGACTCGATAAACGAGGCTAAACATATCTCATAGGAGAATGCTACCGGTGTAGATTGGAATAACCAGACGCCAAAGACTGCCATTCAATTTGCACTCTTCGCGTATTTTCGCCGAACATAAATGATTAGAAATTACAGAAACGATTGAATGTAAATCAGTTCATATACATTCATATTAAATTATTATAGGCGTTGAGATCCATTTGTGTCCATTTCTAGGTGCCAAAGAATAGCGATTTAGTCCCTTTAAAGAAAAGCAATAAGAGACATGTCACTTTAAGGAGGTGTAACATAAGTAATGTAAAATTATTATAAGGATTGAGGTTGAAAAAGTTAATGTTGTTCTTCTCGAAGTAAAATAGCAGTCCATACATTCAGCCGTTGTTCATATAACAAACACTGTCCTCGTATAACGCATCACATATATAATAAAATAGAAGATGGAGAAATCATACTCCATCAATATCTGTAAATCTACAAAGAAGATTGATTATTTCTGACAGATTCGTGGATCACGATAACTTCAAAGACCACCAGGACTATCACACCGTATTTTAACCCGATTCCTTGAAAGTTTGTATTTTGAGTAGTGATATATAAAATCAAGCCAATCGGTCTTGGCTACAAGTAAAAGTAAGACGTCCAATGGACGAATTCGTCTTAATCGAGTCTACATAGAAGTAATCATGGAACGCATCCAAATATTGGCACTATTGAAATGCAGAGTTCATAGACTGTATAATGGGAGGAATTATTTCTAACATTATTCATATTTACCCTTTTCTTCATTATCATCCGAATTAGAATCAGGTTTATCAGTTCTTCTAGTCTCTTCTATACACTGATCTAATCCCATCCAATCTACAATATAATATTTTATTCAAAATTGAATTTTAATTAAATTATTTGTTTAGATTTTAACGAGCTTCCTTGCAAAAAAAGAAAGGGTGGATTTAATTAAATCTCTCGTGTTAATTACTGTTGAGAAATGGAAATATGACTAAATCTGGAAATTTGAAACCAACTGTTCGGTTTAAGTAAATGGTTAAACTACAATTAGTAACCATATCAATTTCCGTGTTATCAAAACAGAATCAAAATGTTAAAAATGTATCTACGATGTGTGATTTTCTTGACAACTTGATTTATGTATACAATCTAATATACCATCATACAATTATACCACCATATAAATATATACAATTATGCATAAAATGGGAATGATTCAACTGACAAGATCGCTTTCATGGGTTTATGTTGATTTGATTGGTTTGCTGACAATTTGTTTCAGTTCAAAATTTTACGGATTATTACCAATATAGAGATATAAATGAATTATTATAACCGTGTCTATACAGACAACCAAAAATGAAACTAAAATTAGTAAACAAACTGAATTCCGATAAATCTTTCGAAACAAAGCTGCAATCATTTAAAGCTTATCCCATTATTAATCGAAATAGAGCACCATGCAGGTGAAGCCAATTCATTTATACCTAAATCAAAGTAACAAAGGAAAACAGCTAGTCCAATTATAATTAGAATTCAATATAACACTGTATACATTCGAACGATCGGCAAATAAGTTGAAATAACATATGAGTGATTTCGGCAACTTATAGTATTAAACGGTTAGCGCAGGGATTCATCCACCATCGAATCATTGGATCCGACTAGACTTTCCCCAGGTGACCAGATCCTTCTGTTTCGCCGCAATAAAATTTTTAGGCAATAAAAATGTACCATAGTCTTGAAATAACCGTGTTTGTGATGAGAGAACGTTAAACACCCTTCCTCTCTAGAGATAGAGCAAAAAAATGTTTCACTTTATTGAATTTAATTTTCTGTGGATTTGTGAAAGCATAGGAATAACGAATGAAGTCTAGGAGAGTGTGTTGGTTGGTATCCCTGTCAATCGCTGCACGCTGATGTGTGTAGTAATTTGTATTTACTAAACGGGTAATAAATATTATTCATATAACCAGCATGAAGTGTTCAGACACTAGTCGCCTATCATTGACGTGAGAACTTGTAGTCACAGTGTGACATTTAATTATAGTCTCTCATAAATATACATTAATAACCACATTAAACAGTAGCAAACTAACAATAATATAGGCAAGCATATTCTGTGAACTTTCTTTACCGTAAAAACTAGATACTTAATGATCATAATCCTTACCCTAACCCTAGGCTTATCACCAGAACTTCAATGGTTCACAACCGTTCCTCACGATTTTTAAGACTATATTTCAGAGTGTAGTTCAAAATCTGAGACAAGAGAAAATTTAGTATCAATGTCAGAATTGGAACAAGACAGTAAAATCTTTTAAAGATACATTATGGCAGATTAGATAAAGAGCTGGCAGTTCTCACTATAATAGTTAAAAACTAAATAATGTAATGGGAATTTGCTGAAAATCTCAGTCAAATTGATCCACTCTGAACCGAGATTTTAGCGATTGATTTTTCGGTCTAGCCTTGATGATCATTACTAAAGTCGGTACGATAAAAAAACATAGTCTCGATTTTCCATTTCATGATTAAATCATGAATGGAAGTCGAACAGCAAATCGGAACCTAATCCAATAAACATCGCAGGCTAGCGATGACATCGAGAGTTGATTATGGTCAGGATACGTTAATTAATGTCTAATTAATAATTTAGATAACATTTCAGGCCCAAAGAAAGACATGCAATATTTTTAAGTAATTGTCTTTTAGCTTGGTTTATATTTATTTTATACTTCACGGTTACAGCAGATCTTAAGGGGTGGAGAATGTGAATAAACACCACACAGTCAACATGTCTACCAAATTTAGTTGTGATTAAAACAGTGGTTTTAAGGAGAGCTTTGTCAGTTGGTTGGTGATAATGGTTTCTACGGATATCCCCCGTCCCCTTCAATCCTTTATCGGAAATACAAACACCATACCTATATGTTCTGTCAAGAGGTTAAGAACATCCAACATCGCCCTTTCCTATCACTACTGAAATGAGCACATCATCCAAGCTGTAGCCTAATACTCTCTTGCTAAAGTCTTTGAATCGCATCAGAATAAGTCGAAAATGTTTTGAAATATATTATTCGCAGAATTTGCTATAAACAGGTCGAGTATCTATTTTTTTTTAAAATCCAATATATTCTGAAAAACTGCAAACTAAAAACAAAAAGAGAGAAAAGAAAAAATCGGCTGAAATAGCGGTACCTTATTTAGCTCTGGGTGTTTAAAAAAAGTAATAAAACACTTTTTGGAGAAGATATGAACAGCGTGACGTATTGTTTTCGCGGCGTCATACTGTTTTACGTCACAGCACGCGAAGCAAACTTCTTTAATCTTTTTCAATAAAAGATTTTTGTGAAGGGTATAATGTTTAATAGCATTATTACTTAGATACACGCTTTTGTGAAGGAGGTTCAAATCGTTTACCTAATCGTAAACTCTTTTTTTTTGTTTGTTTTAAAGGTACTGATAATAAAAACTTTAGGTTTAATCGTTTTCATTAAACCGGCGCATATCAAAAAGTCATGGGATAATATACCCACAAATGGGGTTTAACTTCAAATTAATTTCAGTAAAACACATATTTATTACTTTGTATTTAATGAATAGAATTCTAAAACTTTAAAACCTCTGAACTCTATGTAGAACAACCCTCACCCATAAAACTGTGTAATCTAAAGATCAACATTATGGTTCAACTATTTATCCATTTTATCAAAAGGTGTGTTATTGCGAATAAAGAAAAAATTATAGACCCTGGTTGCAAAATAAGTACACACAAAATTAAATTAAAGTTTGTCGTGCATTGCTCAGAAGGCGTGCAGTACTTGTGCGATGTTACATGGCAACGTTAGCTAACCATCGCATCATAATGTCCAATATCTGGGCTAAAAGATTAAAAAAAAAACCAAAAAAAAAAACCCCAACCCCACGGTACAATGAGTCTCGCTTAACCTAATCTAATGTATAATTTTTCTGGCGACAAATATCTTCGGCTGTTATTTGAATATATTTTCAATCTGATGTCTATATATTAGAATCTAAACTGTCAAGGATATTATATTCCTAATCTCATTTCTGTTTTATTTATTCATTTATTTATCTACTTTTTAAATGGAAAATTTCTTTAAGAATTCTATTTTTCTTACACTCAATTATCATAAATCTAAGATTTCCTTTTCCATTCCCCAAATGTAGGTTATTAAAGCTCCTATAGCGGATTAAAATAAGTCTACCTGTACAGTTCTAGATTCATTCAGTCGTTTTCATAAAAGAAGAAAACAGACGAGTGTCAATGATACCGGGTTTAACTTTAGAGGATAAAGGGGTCATAAAATGAATCTCATGTAGGTGAATAAATTAAAATTTTATGAATGATTTTGTGATTGTAAGGGGATTACAAAACGTCATTAATTCTTTCACCGTGAAACCTCACTTACTACAGCGGCTGAATATAGTGCAGTCTCCCTACACAAGATTTTAATGGGTTCAAACTTCTACGAGCACTTTTCAGTAGAGGTGGTTAATTCGCTATAATCCCTTTTTGTGTTCCCGTGGTTCAGGTTTGTCGTTATTATATGTGGACCCATGTGATAGCCCTGTGTGGTTTTTACTGCCCTATTTCTTTAGAATCAACGGAAGTTATAAAGAATATGAACTTAAAGCGCGGCGTGTGTGAAGAGTATGAAAAATGGTCACCCTGACAACTTATCTCGTGCATAAAGAAAATACCGTTATATTGTCGTTATATTTGTTGACATAAATAGAAAGGGGGTATATTCTAGTATATAAAAGCAAATAATAGAAAGTGACAATATAGTAGTTGCTAAGAATTGAATATGTAGTTAAACGGTCTGTAAACAAATTAGTCCTTCTATACGTCGCATATAATTTGTCAGCAATCATAAGCTTATTATTATGACAATATTGTAAAGACCATAGTCCAAATAAATTTCAATACATGGCAAAGGTGAAACAAATATATTTTTTATTACTTTTCGTTTCACTGCACCTTAAATGTGTTTATATATTTCTATTATGTTTTGTTATTATTTATCATGTGAAGGCTACATACAACAAATCATGTATAGACTTTCAATAGATTTGTGTGGTCTATATATGTTCGCTTATACGGCAACTTTTTCTCTTTACTATTTGTAAGAAAAGGCTCGATGGGTTATTGTCCGCTCGATTTTAATAAGAACTTTATATTTTCACGCCAATAATGATAAAATTTGCATTTTTTATATTGAACGGCAATAAGATCTATGCCTGCAATGAAAAGCAATGATAAAATTTGAATTTAAAACGTTATGTTCGCCATCATGAGCTATATGATTTATATAGTATATCGTTTGTCGAATTTAGTATTTGTCAAGACTATAATACCCTTATTTTAAGAAATCGAATTTTTATTTTGACAATCTTAGATTTTAACACGATTCAACTGTTAGATTTCAGAGAAAATGATGCAAATTCAATTTCATTGTGGAAATTAACCGTTCCTTTATAAATGCTGTTGGCTAATATTAATTACTATTCAACTATTACAGAAATCAAACAAATGTTACACAACATCATGTTATATAAACACTGTCATTTACTTCTCATATTTATTCCCCTTCAAATCTAAATACTCTAAAGATTACCATTTGGTCGCACTTTTCCATCGGTGAAATTAAACACAGTTTTGTTTAAAATTTAGAATTTAACTAAGACAACGTTTGAAGAAACTGAAGTAAAATTCTTTAGGATACTGCCTGATCTTCCAAAATGAATACAGTATTTATATTCTTATTTAAAATAGGTTATTAATCAATATTTGTATACTAATTCAAAGATATGGTTTCAAATTTCTAATAAATCTCATAAACAGCAGAAATTTGAATATGCCGTTACAGATTAATGAAAAGTTATATTTTACTATCCAATAAGTTGGACTATTTACGATAATCATTTCATTTCAGACGAAGATTCAGATTTTCCTATAGAGTTTATGCGGTCTTTTTATTAGGATTTTCACGTTCATCATTTTATCGTACTGAAAAAAAAATCAGTGACGGTATCCACAATAATAATAACATATGCATTGTAGGAATTGAATAGCCCAAGTAAAATGTCTTATCAAATAACAGACTAGCACCTTTCATATTAAAAAAATCAATGACTATTTCCACTCCAGATTTATTAAAATTTGGAGTAAAAGCGAAAGCATATGAAAAATAACTTTATGCATGATTACATTTTCAATAATAATAATAAACTAATACTACTAATAAACTCTACTCTTTTATCAAAAAATAAATATATATTGATACATTATTGTGTTTAAGAAAACTTGATTATAAGAAATATATTTGAGACGATTATATGTAAACATACAAAGAAAGTATGTTTTAATATGTACGAACATGTAGGAACATTTTTCCTTTCATTGTATGACAAATTATTCGCACGTGTTCGATTTCATTGAAACACAAATTTCCACGGGTCAACTTTATCATGTACATGCTTGTTTGACTTTAGTGAACTAAAACTGTGGAATGATAATAAAATAATATCAAGAAAACATCTAACATTTAAAATCAGGATTTTTTTTTCTTTTTGAAAGTAAAATCCGTTACATAATACCTTTGGTGTTAATTGTTCGATTTACCCCCCTCTAACGACGCACGCGAGTAACTCCCCTATAATAAATATCAAATTAACGCGTAAAATTACTCCCGGGATAGGCGTAGATTTATTTCAAGTCACCGCCGTTTGTAGTTAGACCACCCTTCGTGTCTCCAGCGGTCATAACAGTTAACCCTTAAAGAATCATTAGAAAAAGTCAAACCACCTATGAAAAAAAACAACAGACAATAAGATCTTAAATATAGGAAAAAGAGACAGCATCTTAATTTTCCGCAATAAAAGGCCGAATAAATTTTTTTGAATTAATTAATAAATTCAATCATAAAGAAGAACGGGTACTTTATAGCAATAATAATAATATTACCTTAAAACTTAAGCATAAAAGAGGGTGAAGTTTATTTTAGGTCTGTATATAGATTTAGATTTAGAACGTACTCCAAATAACAGTAAACCCTTCCTGTAATTGTTTCTTTTCTTGTATTAGTTTTTTTTAAATATAGGGGGAAAAACGAAAACCAACATTGACATCATTTTACGATCCCAATTTTCAAAAGTGTAAAAATATCGGCTTTAGTTTGTTTCAAATTAATGAAATATTGTGTTTTAAGAAATAAAACGAAATCAAAACAAGTAGGAGTAAGAAAATCTTACACTCTAATGTTTCTTGGCACAAAATATGTTGAGGTTCTTATTCAATCTGTTTATACTTATGAAATCAATAAAAGGTACTAAATATGTAAGAAAGAAAGATTATTCCGTGCTAAGATCAAACACAATATGGGTTTTGTTTAATCCACGACATTCTTTTCCTTATCTTCAGCGGTCTTTAGAATATCACTTGGGAGACATGCATGGAATAAAGCACCCAGGGTGATAGCTTTCAGTGCCCTGGTGATAATCTTCTTCAAGAATGCTCCCCGGCGACCAGTATGCGTCAAAAGCTAATATGACTTAAGAAAGACAGCACAAATATAAAATAACCGTCCTACCTGTTCCATCCACTGGTGGTCCGAAGGCGTCCATAGTAAAGTCGTCTGCGAATGTCTTGTGAAATACGAAACTGTGGATTATTTAGAACAATTGGTGATCTGGAGCCGATAAAATTCAGAAAGTGTTGTTGTTAACATGTATTCTGTATCCTCTTGCTAATTTCATTGAAAAGCAAGTTGTAAGCTACACTTCATGGTCTTTAGGGATGTGTGACATCACAGGGCTCATATATGCTAATCCATTGATCGACCAATCACAGCTAGCGATTGTTTTAATGTCGATTATCACATTAGCTAAGTGTGAAAATCAACGCCAAGAACACAGCAGGGTGTGGATAGACCTCGTGTCCTACTCTTACTAGTATGAATTTATTTATTTTTTCTTGTTTTCACGTGTGCAGTATGGTAGGATTTACCCTCCCTTTATAATTGTCGGTTTGATTTGAACGTTAAAAGACATAAAACATGTCTTTCCTACCCTTTCGATTTTATTGTTCAATGAGTTTTAAAGGGATGTCAGATCCGTAACAAAAACTGTATTGTTCCGCTGTCTTTTCAACGGTTGTAATTTATATTCGATTTATCATTTGGCCCGTGATTTGAACGGCCCCTTTTTTCTTATTCTTCGCTCCGCTGACTTTTGAATTGAAATGTCGTATAGTCATTTCGGCAAGTGTTTGTATTTGAATTCGTTAGGAGTTATACATAGGGAGCAGTTAGTATTCATCCGGGAGATTAGAGCTAATCTGATTTTGAGTGTTGTCCCACTGACTGTCTATAGACTATTCAGTCCGCCTTCAAGATTTTGGGTTCATTAGTGTAAACTTCAACGCCATCCCTTCCTCTTAGTGAATGGCTATCGTGTTTTCATCAATAAAGTCGCAAATATTATATCTTATGAGAAAACATTAACGCATTTTCCCAGGATTGAAACGGTACACTGCTCCCGTTATAAGTTAATTCTCTATGGGACTACTTACAATAATATAATACAATTTCAAAGAGAGTGACTTTGAATTGAATTATAATCTATGAGTTTCATCTTTTAATATATAAATAAAATAAATTAAACCTAAATAAGCCCACCATGTAAAATTTGGGGTCAACGGATTTAGGATGCATAATGAAGATAATGCTATCTAAACCTCTTCAAATAGTGAATTGATACTCGGTTCATAAGGGAGAAAAATATGAATAAGATCTTTTTTAATTTCAAACTTTCAAATCATATACAATTGCCACAATTCATCAAGCATAGAGAAATGAGTTTTAACGTCCACTCGACACAAACTAGGTCATTTCGGGACTGACGTATGGTTCAACTTTATCTGTGGGAGGAAACCCACGAGGTTGGACAGGCGGCCCAACTCCTTGTCACGCACAAGCGGTGAATCCAAACCACGCCACCGGACTCTATGACGGACCTTGTGATTTCATGCGCACGCGTTTAACCACTAGACCCCCCCCCCCTCGTCCCCAACCCACTCAAGCAAGTATAACAGATATATACTTTGATAGCCATTGTTGGTTTAGCTTCTCTGTTCAACATTTTTGTAACTTTAGTAGATTTTGATGTAGTCGTATGTAGCAACCATATCCTAATTTAATTTAAAAAAAAATTACAATGTTTTTATCTTATGCAAAAAAAAAAAAGAAAAAAAAACTTAAAAAAACTAAACTGACATCGTGTGAGCAAGATGGTTCTACTGATCACCGACAATAACTGACAAGAGCGGTTTTCTGATAATGGCATCTAAAGTATGGCAACAAGTGACCGACAAGGAAATATATGTTATAAGATATGCATATTCTACATATCAGTGCTTATTAATGGGAAGAGCAATGCGTTTAGTTAATGGCGTGTTTTTAATATCCACTAACTGACTCATCAAGTAAGACGTCAATATGTAAATAATATTGTCTATTTGGGTCTATACAAGGTCAACAGTTGTATATATTATATTGAATTCTTAATGAATGACGGGCGAGAGAATCAAAAGCCATTCGAATTATAGCAAATTAACAGATCTAATTACTTGAAAACATTTCAATAAAAAGAATATTGAAGTGTATTGTTGTTATGTTATGTTAAACAGAGGTGTCAAACAGCGTGGATCCAATTCCTTTATTTGAATAGATTTGTCAAATATAAAACGTCACTTGGTATTAATCTACAGACTAAAGTATTTGTTCAAATTATTAAAGAATAATATTTCTACGAATGTCACTTCAGCACACCCAGATATATTTTATTCGCGGCATTAGTTGAATAGATTTTGTTTGACTGCCGTTTTATATTTGTATTACATAATATATATTAAATCTCTATGAAAACGCTTTGGACCATCTCCCACATTTCACATGTGATCACGACATGCTGACAATCCAAGCACACATAATCAAATGCTACGTGTTTTTTTTAAAAAAAAAAAAAAATACTAAAGCATAAAGTCGTCCAGTTTAATGAAAGATCACCACCACGAGTGACATTTTCTATTATTCGCAAGGAAATACTGGAGAATACTCCCATGACTTAATTTCCGGAACACTATCTGTCTTTGTGCACTCATATTTTACATACATGTATAATAAATCACAGCGAATATTCTATTATTAAATATTAATAAACGTAAAGAAAACGATTAATGTTTATGATTTATCTTCATGCCATATTGATAAGTATGAATCGCTTCTTTCATAATACCTTATTCCCACACAAAATTCGAAATTTTGATGGTTTACATAGAACAACAGCGAAGCCTATCCCGTTTCTAAAAGCCCACGGAGTTAATTCAGGCAAATCTCGATAAATCGCTTGGGCATTATTGTTTGTAATTTATGGACCACTATTGGTAATTTTAAAGGACATGTGAAATATGAACGTACTGATATAATAATTATGCTAGATTTGTTGATTTGCGACGTGGAAATCTTATTGCTTTAAACGCCCGGTTTAACGTGCATCAATCGATGGGTTAGTTAAGAAACAAAACTCAAATTAATAGTTAGATCAGTATTTTTATTTTAAAAATACGTCTTTCTCAATTATCATAACTTACATATTATGTTTAAGCAGTCTGGCACTAGACTATCTTAAAGAATGATTTACGGGTCTCTGAAAACTTTTACATCATTTATTGACATTTTCTAACTGCTTGTTCGGTACCAACGGTGAGCTATGGACATCGTTCTTTTGATTTACAGAAACAATTCATATTTTCAAACGTCTTTTATAAACTCACATTTTTTATTAATTTATTTAATTAAAGATGCATCATGCAAGATCTAAATCTGCCTACCACAGGTCTTTTTTCTGCGTATGACACAAATGTTATATCAGTTATTATATAGACATTTTATTCACATGACCATTCAATAATCAACTATTTGGACGATCGGGTGGCTAAGATATTGAGTGGATTTAACAATTGATATTGAATTGATTCGACAATGCCGTTCATATTATCGTATAAAATTATAATGGACGGCACTCAGGGAGATTGCCGATTGAAGGACTAAAATTTGAGAGTTTTTTTTATTACAAGCACGGCCAGCTCTATGTCTAAATCTTCAAGATGCATTCACACGAAAGTATTTATAGAGCAGTTATTTCTAATAAAAGTATGGATTATTTGGTATAAAGGGTAAAGACACCAAATCTTACTATAAAAATACTGGATTCCCTGCCCCCCCCACCCCCCCAAAAAACGAAAAAAAAACCAAACAAAAAACAACACTTGCCATGAAATGAGGTTTAACGTCCTACTTTTCTGCTCCGACTGGGTTAATGAAGACAATTATACCTCATGCAGTGTCCCGTGAGGGGCATTTTGCCCGGACAGAGGCGCTGTGGCCTACTCGTATATCGATTTCCAACTCTCAAGGGGTCTTTTACGTGCAAGCCGATGTGTACACGGGACCTCGTTTTTCGTTTCACCCGAACGACTGTACGCTGTACCTTGCCAGGTCCTCTGTCCTTCACCACTGACAAGGGGGAACCGCGGATGGTTTAACGCTTTAGATGAAAAGGTCTGTCTTTGAGTTAAGTGTTTTCAAGCACACACTTGTACGTGACAAGGAGTAGGGTCGCCTGTCCAACATCTTGGGTTTTCTCGTGATGACAATAACCTGGTTTATTTTGCTAACTTCGAGCTATATCGAGTTATATTAAATATATTTAAAATTAATAAATCGGTTCAGCAGTTAACGTATGTTGCGTCATAGCACTATAGCTAAGCTTTTTATTTTGTTAATTTAGCCGTTGTTTGGGTATTTGTCAGACAAATGCCAATGTCTGGACTTTGTTATGATATACAAAAATGACATCGTGTTTAGCATTATGTCCCGTTAAGACACCGTATATGAAAATTTAAAAAAAAAAAAGACTAGAATTTTCAATTTCATTTGACTCTGACTCCAGTTTAATTTATTCAATACACTTTATTACACTGTATCATACATGATGATTATGGAAATCAAGATTATGTTGATTTGTTTTTAAGCCGTTCAGTACCGATTGATCCCTCGATTTGAACAATCTACATTAATTATCTCTTTAATTCCTTTGAAGTATACACTTTTACACCGCTTCCACGTTTAAACCTTGTCCTAAAATTTTATGAACAGGTTTTTATAACGGTACTTAAATTATAACAACTCTGCGAAGTGTTGCTGTGGGCGTTATAGAAATACTTCAAAATTTTATTCTGATGCTCTGGTTTAATTGATGATAGTTTATAATTTTATTGTTTACCTACCTCTAATGGTATTTTGTGCAATTTATTACACCCATAATAATTGTTCAACTTTCCGAAATATGGTTAGAAAGTAAGTGTCCGAATAAAATAAAATAATACTCAATAAATACTACACATGGAAACAAACATATCCGTTAAAAGATAATTCAGATCCAACCATTTTAACTTAATTTATAGCCATTTTGAGTTTATATATAAGCTCTTGATTATTTCACACCACCATATCTGCATTGCCTGAATTGATAAAAATTAATGATAATTTTAATATAATTCCCAGCCTTTTACTTACATAATAACTGTCTCGAATTTGCAGAGTTAAGTGTTTAACGTAACAATTTAACATCGATTTGGATGGTTTACGTTACTGTTTTAAATGGGTTTTTTTTATCGCTGTATACTGACATTGGATATAATATTTTCTTAATAGAACGGTCAACGCGGTGATAAATGAAAGAATATGATTCATATATCGCCGTTGCAAATATCCCCAATTCTTTCAGATATGGTCTCTAATAGTAAGTGCGGGAGGACCGCACTACACGCAAAACAAAACCGACAGGACAAGAGGTTTACTTTTACATCTGACAAACATCAAACTTTGGACCAAACTTTGTCACAGCTATATAACAAGAAAATATATATTAATAACACCCTTAAATACGTCAATTTCCACATTATCTTTATTCTATACTCGGAATCAAAGCTAATTATCAAATATGTTTTATAGATTTCAAATAAACCATCCACAGATTATTCCCGCCAATCACTCGTAAATCGTGTTATATTAAGAAGTTTGTTAGTGGAACAAATAAAGACGTGCTCTATTAGGTTTATTAACAAATGAGATATAGTTGAAAGCCATCAAAGATGCTGTATCTCGTATATTACTTTCTCACTTCGCTCTGATTTCTGTTTCTAAGGATTAGCAAATTTCCCGAAAACATATAAAATCGTATATTGATACGCGGGGTCAAAGGTAACGATTAGCTATAATAACTTATCGTTTACAGTCAAATCACATGACGCAATTTGTGGTTAACAATCGCGTCGAATTTCCTCTCTTCTCGTTTTCCAACTAATTCTTAATATCTTCAGATTACACGGATGAGAGGAGAAAGGATACGCTGAATTTACACAAGAATTAATTATACCATTCATTGACTGACCTCCGCCACCAGATATTCATGTTTTCATACCCAGGCCAATAAACGGACAATGATGGATAAGGAAATTAATCGAAAACCTTGTGAATATTGCTTGAATTATCTTCGGAAATGTGCTCAAGATCAAAATGTCGACGATTTGACGATTGGCGAAACCGATATTTTTGTCGATTGAAGCCAGTCTATTGAAAATGATTTCCACACGATGCCCCTATAAGGCAGCAATCAAAACGAATTCGCCTTTATTCAATTATTAAACAGACACGAGTTAGGCTCGTGAGCGCGCCAAAAACGACCTCATGAAACTGACAATTGTCGTCTGCTTTTCAATATTAGCATCTTGCTGGTAATCATCCGCGTTAATTGTTTGATGAGTACGTCTTTTCACGTTTTATAGTCAACCCTCTCGTTGGCGCTAAACAATTTGCAGAGGAAGCGGATATTAATTACAATGAATAGTGGACAACAATAGAAGATGAGGATGGAACATGCCCTTGTCTCTTGTCACTCACCGCATAATCTTTCAATTCAAAGGTGGCCATTGTTTTTAGTTTGCTTCATCAAAATCTTTCGTTTTCTTTCCATTGATGTAGTAACACGTGCGAGGATTTATTAGAACATGCAGGCCAATAGATCATGGCTCTATGAATATAATAACTAGACTATCCCAGAGTTCTTCCAGTCTCTTTTTTAAATTTAGGAACTATAGTTCTTTATGGAATTAATTAATTACCAAATAATTAGTTTGCTCTTAAAAAATAGGCTTTTAATGACTGTCGATTCGACATACTATTACACTGGTTTATTGTCCCTCGCCTTCGAAGAAAGCACTGGACTATTAAAATAGACCCCGTCTGTCCGCCCGTCCATCCGTCTGTCTGTCTGTCCGGTCGTCACACCTTTTGGGACTCAATAAATCTCGTTCTAAATGAGGTAGAATGTTCAAACTTGGTATAGGTGTTTATCAGGTGAGTGTCTTGATTGATCAAGACTTTGGAACATAGCATCTCTACTTTTAATTTAGGTAGAATGTTTAAACTTGATGTAGATGTTCATTACGTGAATGTCTCGAGTGAGTTCAGTGATTAACATGTCCCACCAAAGCTAAGCAGAGCTAAGCAATGTCATTGGCCGATGCTTTGGGACAAGATAGCTTTGATTCTAACTGATGTAGAGTGATGAAACTTGGTGTATAGTTTCACTACCAGGTAGGCTACTTCAAAACCTTGACTGAGTTCGATCATGAACAATTTATGCTTAGACTAAGTATAGACAATCAGTCTGATTTCTCGATACTTTTGAAAAAGACATATGTGCAATTATTTAATATGTGTCATCAATTTATTTTCGGATTTCGGCGGGGGACATCAGCCCCACTGTTCGCTTGTTTCTTTTTTGATTTGTGGATCATGATTTCCCATTACAATCAATGGTAGGCTATTAAATTTTATTATTAAATTCGGAAAATTTAGAAAGTGGCCAAACTTTATTGTGAACCAACGCAACCTTAATCCGCATAGATACAATATAATGAAATAAAGTGTTTTATTAATTTGTTTTACCTCTCGGCAACACTTTACGTATATGTGGATAATTCTAAGATACTTCTGTCATTGAGAGTGTCCACATATACTTTCACAGCTCACAGGGTATTCTTATGTGGGTTGCTGAAATTTGGAAACAGAAAGAATTTTGTTTCTCGTGTAACATAGCCTACAGTATACAGCGAAAGAAAGGGGTAAGTGATCAGATTGCAAGAAAAATAAATATTGAAAGATCAAAATCGAACTAAAGTAGGTGGCTAAATTGCCACTGCCCGGAAAAACTTTCCCATAATATTGTTATGTTTATATAATATCTATATAATATCTATAATACGACTTGTTAAAATTATCTAAATATTATATACAAAGAACCTGTCCTTTGATCAAGCCAATTCTAGGAATCATGAAAAAGGTTGGTAGTATTATTGGCGGCGACGCTCTTTGAAAAAAGCACAAGGCTCCGTCAATTCCAGTACGATCCACATGGAACCTTGCATCGATTCCAAGATGGTGGTGATATCACAATGCTTGGTTCCTGTTCCATATAGTATTATTGTACTTGTTAAAATTAAAATATTACAATGTAAAATATAACTCATATGAACAAAGTCCATTTTGTCTTCCATAACTCTTTATTTCGATATCGCGCAATTTCTTCTTCAAGGGGGAAGGTAGCAGTTCACAATCTTATGATGACCAATAATTGTTTTCCATTTAGGCGGATCAAGAGATACTCTTCACAACTAAGAGAACTTTTTATGAGTCCATAAATAAAAAGTCTATGTATTTGAGATCTGATTTCACCTTATTATGTATATCATTAGTCTGATTCCAAACATCCACTAAATTACACTCGTGTAAGATTGTTCTTATTTTTTGAGACCATTTGTTTTTCAGAAATGTTTGAAGTAATCTGTATATGGGACTCGACACCGAAATTTCCCACGGAGCAGACTGCATGGTGCAGAAAAGTAGGATATTAAACCCCATTTCATTTCATTTCCTTTTATACCAGCAATAGTTACAAACGCTTTTCATGTGTATAGATTTCAATTATACACAATTCTTTAAATTTTTGTATGAATTCATTTAAATTTTGGATCTGTAGACAAATGTCAGATTAAAGGACTTACGTGTTTTTAACGTTAAAGGGCACATAAGATGGACGACATCACTTTTTGGTATAGCCAATGGTTACTATATCCACTTTACGGCAAGTTTACACCAATCTGATTAAAATTAATTCGGCTATCTCCCGTAAAAACGACTTTGCCAATTATCGAAAACACTCTTAATCCCCTCAGACGCCAGTGACGTCACAGTAATTTAAGATCTAATTTAGCATAATTTTGTTTCATAATGTCCCGCCCTCTCTTCTCACAACAGCGATTTTAAAACTGTGTTTTAAAGTGACTTTTTGATAATTTGATAATTTTAATACGTACATGCAATTTAGATTTTTTTACACTATGTGGTCTTTAACTTTAATTTTGGTTCTGGCTATTGAGGTGTAGCTATTTTTCATATGATGAATTGTGGCTACAAGAATAAAACGAGCGGTTAAGTATGCATATCGCCTTCAGTTTAATGGGATTCTTATTGATTTTAAACATACGTGGAAAAATATTAAGCAAAACACATTCTAACATTTATTAATAAATTTAACTCAAACATGTAAAACAAAACAATTTAGACTAACATTGTGAAAGCCGACGACAAATTTGTACAACTTTTGGACACAATTAACTTTACAATATGAAGTAGGAAGTAAAAAATGTTTATTTCTCTATATTGTTAAATATTATCTGTTCATGGTACTGTAGCCTGTGGCAAGTTGTCATGATGTGAAGCGACTTAAATCTGATGTGTTATTTCGCTTGGTGATGGCGTGTAAACATAGTTCATTATAGAACTAGCATTTCTGTTCACAAGAAAACAGAATACACATCGGGTATAATAGGTTTAATATCAGGAACATAGTTTATACAGACCGAATTCAATGAAATTGACAATTTTATTTTGATCCAAACCAAAGACATCTGGTCATTTTAGGTAGAAAAAAAAACAATAATAAGAAGTATAATTTATCAATTGTTCTTTGGATAGTAATCCAACTATTAAATAAAGAAAGAAAATAAGTAGGTTAGCTGGGAAGCAATGATTTACCTTTCTGCCATCGGATAAAAATTTACGAGAACAAGAGAGAGAGAGAGAGAGAAATGGGGTTTAACGTACACTCTACACAAACTAGGTCATTTCGGGACTAACATATGGTTCAATTTTATTCCCATAATTTGCTTGCGTGGATGGGTCTTTAGCAGTGGGAGGAAACCGGAGGACCCGGAGAAAACCCACGAGGTTGGACAGGCGACCCTACTCCTTGTCACCTACAACCGGGGATTCAAAACCACGCCAGTTGACTCAATGACACACTTTATGATACAGCGCGCACGTGCTAACCATTCAGCCATCCAACCCTTGTTCGATTTGACTAATCTTTGGTAAAACCAGTTTTTATCATATTATGGTCTGAAAATCTATATTTGCCTTTAGTGTAGAATATTGGGGCTTTAATTAATAGATATCTCGAAAATCGACAAAACACTAATCATAATAGTTAGTGTATGTTTCAAATTTCTGAGCCCCATCGAACATTTGTGGGATAAAGGTTAAAGGCGTATGCGCAATGTGAGACCAGTCTCTACAACTGCCAATGAACTACGCACAGCTGCTCTAGATGTGTGCAGGAGGATCCCCAGGGCCACTCAATGTACAGGCGATGCGTGACAGTGACCAATGCTAATAGTGGGAAATTTCCAATCAATAGAAACAGGTAACACAAACAAATTACAGACGGTTTGATGGAATCAATATTGATATACAATAATTAATAGAATACAGTATCAAAAAAACCAAACAAACACCGTTTTATTCATGCTAATGGTGGTTGGTGGTCACACTAGGTATTTACGGTAACGTCTAAAAGCTAAGACCCATTGCAGATTTCCTCATAAGTTTTTTATAGTCTAAAATTTCGTTTTACTTGACTTTACTAAGCTAGGATCTGGAAGAGTTGTTATATTACCGGCGTTCTGGCTGAAGTGAGGGATTAGCCAATGAAACGGTCTGTTACGGCGAGTTCTTAGGGTGCGATACACGGAACTTTGGGTAAACCACTAGAAACGTCAATGCTGATTGATTAATCAATGTCTGACGCCAAAAGCCCATGTACGATACCTGACGCGACCTTCCAGTACAACCGGTCAGATCTTCATTGAAAGTATAAGAAAGTATAAAAGAATGAAACAAAATATAGATCTGTATTTTAATCAGATTACCCTATCGGCAATTCTTGTTTTTACTGTCAGAAATAAATAACATTTATACTTGATACTCAACTTGCGTTTCTTTTGCGTGTTAGTTTATATACAAATTGGATTTACTGCTATCTCATTAATAGACAGTGATTGTATGGATAGACCAATCGCCGATTTTAAGCCAGTGGATAAAAGGGAGGTAAATGTTCCAACTTTTAAATGGCGGCAGACCACCATGAATTTCGCTATTGACTTCAATGTTAAAGGACAATATTGGTGTCAGTCATTATTACATATGTGATAGAACTGGTTAAATACATTCCAAATATAATTTTAACACAGAGATCATTACTACGGGAGTTGTGTCACAAGCACGTGAAGAAACAGGTAGTGACGCCAAACATGACAAACACGAGTTGCGCTTCTATATAACAGACTGAAGTAACGAGCGGTAACAGATAAACGATCGAATTTCATTTCACTGATAATTCCGTTGAAGTTGAAAAGTTATTATATGGGACGGTGAGAGGGTATCTCACAATTCAAAAATAGAATTGGCTGTCACTAGATAAGGGACACGAGAAAAATAGAAAATTCCCGTGCAATCCCCCGTTTTTATTCATTCTGTTCTTAATAAAAACATGGTAATGCACGGACTTTTTCTAATTTGTTCGTTATCTTTTATGTACTGACAGGCAATTCTTTTTTTGAATTGTCAGATATCCTATCATCGTCTCATATGACAACTTTTCATCTTCAACTGAATTATCAGTGAAATGAAATTCGATCGTTTGTCTGTTACCGCTCGTTACTTCAGTCTGTTACATAGAAGGACAACTCGTGTTTGTCATGTTTGACGTCACCTCCCGTTTCTTCAGGTTCTTGTTACACATCTCCCGTAGCAATGATCTCTGTGTTAAAAATCTATTTGGGATGTATTTAACGAGCTCTATCACATATTTTATAATGACTGACACCAATATTGCCCTTTAATTCTTGTCTCTGCCCGGTTCCAACTTTTCCCCAAACTTTCGTTGGACTGAACGCTTTTCACTACAGCAAAGCAACAACAGGCCATAGCTACTTAACAAAAACTGGTAGAAAATGTTAATCCAAACCGTCTTCCATTCTAGGCCAAACAATCAACAAAAATAACCATGCAACAGAGAGAGAGAGAGAGAGAGAGAGAGAGAGAGAGAGAGAGAAAGGAATTAGGGGAACTACGTAGTGAAATTTAATAGTGGTCGACCTCCACACCTAATTATCCTACTCATTTATAGATAATCTCTTTCCTTTCGCTTCATCAATATTTATTGTTGTTGCTTCTTGGAGTGAAGAACTGATGAAAATCTCAGAGGTTTGGGTGATTATTAATGATTGTGACGTATGATATTAGATCATATAAGTAATATTTAATTATAAAAGAAAGAGTGTTCGCTGAACACTTGTCACATATTTAACACACGATAAAGGTTAAAAAAGAATATAAGAAAAAAACCCAGACAAAAGTTGCATGCAATAATGAGAAGCGTCACTCGATTTGGCTTATGCACTTCCAAAATATGTCCCTTGTAGTAATGAAAAGTTTTGAGAACGTGTGCAGTCTGGGCTGGATGATCGAGTAAAATTATAAGCCTGGTTATCTCTTTATCCGCCTAACTAATAATCATGAATATTATGATTTATATTGCAATTCAATTCCTTCTCTCAGATTCAAGGCAAATAGGCATATAAAATGTATGGCAGTGCCCACCCCATACTCCCCTTGCTTTTTTAAAATGAAAGGCAAGTTCTGTCTGTTTATAGGGATCCCTCATTCCTCTTGTACTTTTGATAAATGAATACATTTCTAAAAACGTCAGTTGCGTTGCGTTTTGTTTTATTTCATGTTTTTTTTTACATTGACGTCTGATACATTGGAGTTGGCATTCAGAACACATGCTCTTAGAGACCGACAGAGTTGTCTCTGTTGGTATACACGACTCATGTGAATTGTGGGAATTAAAAAACCAAAGTCTGTAAAAATTATACTGATGGTTTACGGTTAGATATAACTGACACTAGTAGAGCACGGTTATAATAGAATGTGGGTTATATTACAACGTGGCCTTAAAATCAGATAAATAAAGAAAATGAAATTGTGATCTACATGTATTTTTATTAGATTGAAGATAAAAAGACAGATATCCATTAGCATTTGTCGCTAGCCTGGAGGTCGGGTGTTCAATCCCTGCATTGGTCGAGAACGTGCATCCAGATTTTCCGGCGTGGTTCCGCCTTGTTAGTGATGCAGGACGGAGGGCCTGACAAGGACAGCTGTCTAGTCGTTCGGATGGGACGAAAAACCGAGGTCCCGTGGCGTGCACGTAAAAGATCCCGTGACAGTTGGAATTCGATATAAGAGTAGGCCGTAGTGCCGCTGTCCGGGCAAAATTTCCCTCATAGCACACTGTATGGCGTATGCCCGTCTTCATTAGAGTAGGACGTTAAACCCCATTTCATTTCATTTCATTTCATTAGCATTTGATTGATAAAACTGTGACACACCAGACGTTAACAAAGTGGGCGTTGTACTAATGAACGAACACTAATCCCACATGTGCATTTCAATGAAATCGTCCAAGATTTCATCTAGAATAAAAATGTTACACGTAATATTTTAAATAGTACTCCAACGCCAAAGGGTGACGTCACACCTCTATTTTAATGATGTTTATTGCATTTATTTTGACGACTGGTCTAAACACTGTCAAAATATTCTCGTACACGATTTAAAGGTATGGTGGCTGATTAGTATCATGTCGTGATGTCGGCCTTCATAAGGCGACAACCCAACAACATGACATTTTAACTCTTTGTTAGCGGTGCAGGACGGAGGGCCTGGCAAGGTATAACATGCATACATATTGGTATTCAATACGAGCAGGCCGTAGCGCAGCTATCCGGGCAAAGTTTCACTCATAGTACACTGTATAGCGTATGTCAGTCTTCATTAACCCAGTCGGAGCAGAACAGTGGGACTTTAAATCCCATTTCATTTAATTTAACTTTCCTACAAAACTAGACACTGCTCTTTGACAGGTCCTTCGCTCTGCACTACCGGCAGGGAGCAACCACACTGTAAAATCCCGGGAACTTTCTTGACCAACACCAGGATCAGTGTACATAATCCTAGTATTGACAAGAGCATGGCCGACAACCCGGCATTATAACACGACATTAATGTTGCAAGGTCGAGCGAAAATGTCCTATTGTCGGGTTAAAATTTCGTGATGTCGGGTTGTCGCCGTCACTACATGATATCAATCAGCCACCATATTATAAAGGTGATTAGTTCAAATGATAAACTTATTTGAAGTACGTCAGACATTCCAATGTTACGCTAAATGTCAACGGATCAAAATTCTAACGCCAATGGCTTAATTACATAACAACAATGAGTTAGTGAACACCTATTAATGTTCTGTTGGAAACTCATAACTGGTTGTCATTTTTAATACATATTATACAGAGTGTCGCTGGAACTAGATTTAGATAAAAAAAAAAAGAATCCCGCAAAAATTCAGTTTTCTACCAATTTGACTATTCCATTTCAGAACGCTCTTTAATGATAATAAAATCGGGATCATACTAATCACGGACAAGAACCGACAAAGGGTTTTTGGTTGTCCATATCGCCCAAAGTATTGCAAAAAGTAAAAAAACAAAAAATAAAGATAAGTGGAAATGAAATCATTTAAATTTTGAATATGATGTGTTGAATAGATATATCTATAACGTATATTTCCTGGGGCACTGCTGATAAAAACGCCCTAATGGGTGACCACTAGTACCGTTATAGTCAAAATTTAAATTATCCATAAAGTTGTCAGTTTATTATGAAATAATTTTGGATGTGATTTGTATAATCTGCATATCTATAACATATCTTTTCTTGTCCGCCACTTTTTACAATACTTTGGTCGCTCTTGTTTTAGAAAAATATTTATATTTTATGAATTTGTGAAATTGTAAAACCATCTAACATTTTTTAACTTTTTATAAATTATTTTTGATTGGTCCTCGACAGTTATGTGTACACCCAAGTTGGTGATGTACCCTAACAAGAAATGAATGGCGATTAAGATGTCTCTTATGGGAACTTACCCAGTATTGAGCAGTTGAAGCTGTCAAGAGTTATACCAGATTGACAAGTGTTCGTCGTGAAGAGCATGCTTAATTGCTGTGTTCGTGTAAACGGAAAGGGCCATTAAAGGTTAATATAAAGGACGCGGGTTTAAGATAGATTAGTTTCTTGACTGACGTAAGATGATTGTCACTCAGCCTAACCTCAATCAATTTTCTTACTATATATAAAGAGCCCTTTCAAAAGTCCTTTCATTTGGATATAATTTGGACACAGCATACCGATATGTGGAGGCTTCAGACAATACTTGTTGGATTTGCGCTCATTTGTGGATATACAAGTAAGTTGCATATCTCTTAAACTATAATTACAACCAATATAACCAGTATCCGGTAAGGATATCTTGAATAAACACAAAATGACAGATCACTGTCCTAAAAAAAATCCCACCACATGACAAATCAGACTTATGGAAGAAACACAAGATGGAGAATAAACTCCGGGAGCAACTTCAAGATGACTGATTAGTCTACAGTGGTAGTCCACAAAGAAGGTGATGTGTGATGACGGTACCCAAAACAGAAACATTTTAATGCATTGGTTTTATCTCAAATAGTACTTAAAAAGGGACCCCGGTGTTGCCGCATCCCGGAACTAGGTATTGTTAATTTCTTCTTGCGTGGAAAATCGAAATTCTAATTCCAGGATATGCACACTAACATCATCTATTTCTGCAAAATGAAACTGTTGATAAATTAGTACCATTCGAGACGTTCTAATTAATTCATCGCAAATCTAAGTGACCAAATGTTAAATGCCAATGGAAAAGCATTAGAGAAGCACGGGATAATGTCAAGGGTTCTATTATGTATTTATATTTTTATCCTTATTTAGGTGATTCAACCATCTGCCTTCTTTTCCATTACACTTAGGAATCAAAGTAAATTGCCCAAGGTGTAGTTGACCCGCCGAAAAGTGCGAATGTCGAAAAAAGGGAAAATGCGACTTGATTATCGGGATTTGTTTCCCCCACCCCCTGCCTATTTTCTATCTGCTCTAAAAATTGTAAATACCGGATATTTGTTGTAATGTAATCCCAACTTTCAATTTTACCTTCTTTTCTTTTCCTTGCGGATTTCATGATTCGGGTCTATAAATGTATTTATCTTTGTATTCTATTGTATAGAGGCCAATAAATGCATTTATTTGCTTATAGAATTGTAATCAAGAAGTTATTGCTTTGCAAGGTTACGTACTTTCAATTTGTTTCGTTGTGAACTGTCCGGTATTTGTAATTAGCAGAATACAAAATTTTCTACATTGTTTCAAACTGGGATGTTGGATGGCCGAATGGTTAGCACGTGCGCGCTGTATCATAAGGTCTGTCACTTAGTCAAATAGCGTGGTTTCGATTCCCTGGTTGTACGTGACAAGGGGGAGGGTCGCCTGTCCAACCTGGGTTTTCTCCGGGTCTACCGGGTTCCTCTCACTGCTACAGACCCCTGGGCGGGGGCGAATTATTGAAATAAAATTGAACTATGTTATTCCCGAAATGACCTAGTTTGTGTCGAGTGGACGTTAAACCCCAGAGGCCTTAAACCTTGAATGGGCCCCATGATAATAAAGATACTTGATTTTAGTTTTTGAATTATTACATTTCCATTTTCAGATGGTCAGGCATTAGGCCAAATCCGGGGAACACTATTGGGAAAAACAGGTAAGACTTCTAAAAAAGAATTTTACAGATAGCTCATCGGTATAGGTCATTTTCCTTCACGAAAACCGTTATTCTGTTATTTTATAGGAATAATTGGGATGATCTTTTAGAGGCATTTAGTAACTGGATAGAGCAATAAACTATAACACATACTTATGGAAGAACAATTACTGATTTATTTGGGCGACGTTTCGAAGAGTATTCTCTCAACGTTTTCAAGCAATGTGTTATAGTTTAATAATTGGGATAGTTGGTGATTCTGATTGTTTTAATGGCAAGACATGGATAAGGAAGTATCCAATCATACCCAATTATTTGCGAACCAACAAACATTACATAGTAAAACTTTATATTTTCTCGTTAGTTTTAAGATAGTAGTATCCAGGGTATTAATTTTTCGGATGTATTCCTTGAAGAGTTGTTCCCCTTAAATATGCGATCTTACCTTTCAAAAATCCATATTTATTCACATTCACAAAATTCATTTCACAATGAGTTTAATCAAAAAAAAAAAAACCCCAAAAAACCCCCCCGTATCGTCATGTATTCTCTCACATAGTGCTTTTAAAGAACGAACTAATATCAAACAATTCTTCAACAAAACGAATGTGATTATTCTTTTTTTTAATATCATTTCCATCATTACTATTACCCATCAGCAGGCAGTGGCACTGTATCAAGACAACTTATTGGCAAATTATGGGATCCATCTGCAGCCGTACAATCAACAGGAACTGTGACTACTACCTCAACCAAACAAGCTGGAACAACCCAATTATTGGATAAAAATGCCGTCTCTGTATTGTTGCATGCTTTAGGGTATGGTAGAAATGGTAGGTTGTCTATTTAATCTGTTATTCTTTTCACCCAGTATTTCGTCAAAATTATATTGACGATATAATTGCCAATAGCATCGGATAAAAAACCCAAAACAACCGGAAACATTTCATCGCCGGGCATCACAGTGAACGCTTTGAAGGTCCGCGATTCATAATGAAAACGTTTCCGTTATTGGCGTTGCGTTGCGTTGGGTTGGGTAGCAAACCGGGATAAGGCAAAAGGGAAGAAACGAAAAATGGTCAGTCAGTGATTTGGTTCCTAGATCGAGGTAAAACATTTGGTCACTAGAGATTATAGAAGGAATTTCGTCAGAATGAACCACAGGATTTTCGCAATTTTCTGCGAATGTACGACGAACATGGTAACACCTTTCACACGAAAACAGACCACACAAATGAGCGATCCTATTTCACTTACACAGCGCTTATTTACCACCTTGCGATATCTTACAACGGCTGATTAAACCAATCATCAATCTACGCTGGTACGTGCAGATACGTTCGAATACGTTTCGATACGATCAACACGATTGCCACGACTGACCTCAATATATGATAAGACCTAATAGGATCACCATGATTACTCCACGATTAGAATCATGATTAAAACCACGATTTCAACCGTAGCACGAATAGTGATAGTTTGAACCTTGCATAAGCAATCGCTAGTTATTCTTATTGATGGAAAGGCATCTGTAACGATCGTAAGACATCTGTAAGCATTCGCAATGCTTCGTAAGAATTCGCAAACAATGATATTCTGAGCGAGAGTGGTATTAGAGACTTTTGGCAAGCGTAATTTCCTGGTCCGTAACGCGTATCCGTTTGGATTTTGCGCGTGACGTCATCAATGTCTGTGTATTTCTCATACGTGATACGGCACACGGATACGGCAGCACGTATGGAACGGCTTTCATACGGAAATGGTCCGTATAACACTGTCGTCTTTTTACCGTCGTTTTTGCTACTTTTAGACGCTGAAATGTTGCATCATAGCGTTTTTATGAATCTATGTGTATCCTAGAACACGAAGGTGTATATTTGATGTGATTTTAACAGTGATAACGACTGAATTTAATCATTATTTTTGATGGGTTGTTCTCGGAATTTTCATATTTTTACCGCCTGTCTGCATACTGGTTGATCTACGGGCTAAACTTTCTGAAATGATACATTAGTGAAACCAAAAATTTCTAAAATCTGCCAAAACTCTAAAACTGCATTGACGCAACGTATCACGTATACGATACGGATACGGGATACGGATGGGAAAAATCCGCTTGCCAAAAGTCTCTATTATATCAACTTTTACCGCAGAGATGCATGATTATTGTCCCTCTTTCACGTGAAAAGTGCTGAATCGAAATTAATCGAAATTCGTGGCGATTCGCTCCCCTACCCCCGGCAAAAAAACCAATACGATAATGGTACGAAATGATAGAACCGTCTACGAATTGTAGCGATTCAGTTACGAATGAGTTACGAATGTGTCGCATTGTTTATGAATATGCCGAATTCAGTTACGAATACACTACGATCTCCACAAATGATGCCAATAAAGCTGCGACAAGTTTACGGTATTCAGCACTATTCGTGACAATTCGGCTTATTCCTGGTTCCCTAATCGCTTTAAAAAGCCGCCGATCGCTGCCGAACACGTCATCTGTACAATAGCAGTTCAGTGGAGAACAGATCTGTCTCTGGCCATGGAACTGCTGGTAGCTGAGCACCCGAGGAGAAGGAACCCCCAAGAAGACCAAAGCGCTTCTGGTTTCGACATGGCTGACACCCCAGAGAAGGCTATAATTTGGCCAATACAACGGCCTGATGCAAGAGCTTACGGTAGAAGATGAGCAATCTTTCACAAATCATGTCAGAATGCCAAACCGACTGGTTCATGAGTTCTTCCAGAGGATTGGCCCTAGGATCCAAAGGAAGTAAACCCCAACGAGACCACCCCTAGAAGCTGGACTAAATCTTGCAGTGATCCTCAGGCACCTGACTACAGGAGACCGCCCGCCCCCACACTATGACTTCAGATGTGGCAAGAGCTACTACCCCAGACCCAGGATTACTGGAAGGCCATTGTCTAGCAGTTGCAAGACGGGTGGAATGTTCCTCATGCCCTGCTGGCGTTGGATGGCAAGCACATAGCCCTCAAGAACCCACCCACGTTCGGCTGTGTCTCTACAAGGGATTCTTCTCCGTGGTTCTGACGACCCTGGTGGATGGTGACTACAGGCTCATCTGGATTGACACTGGTGGACAAGGTCATCAATCTGATGGACAGATCTTTGGTTCATCCGAAATGAAGGAAGTCATCGAGGACGGGGCCATCAACTTCCCTAACGATAAACCTCTGAATAATAATGACATCAACATCCCACACCTCTGGTGAAGTCTCGTCAGGTTATAAAAAAAGTCCATGGCATATTGTTTGCATTTTCATTGAACACATACCCAAGGCTGTTCAGAAGTGAAAAAATAAAAATCTTCTATACACTAAATTTGAAAATATGCCAAATGGAATAAAAAAAGATCGAAAGTTACTTATTCCGCGATTTCCGACATTGAAATACGCACGTAGGGTGCTTGATGCAGCACAGTTGCAGTTCTTATGTCTATGATTGATTCAATGATGGTACTTGTTGGTGGCAAAAGTTTGTTTCAACCCAGTTGATGTATCCTTTTCAGACTTAGGACTTTTCAGCGAGCCCTCGTACAATGCATTTGACTAAGGTATTTTCTCCATGTGCTGTTGTGAGAGCGCACAATTGGACAGCAACTTGATCAGTTTGGTATATTCACAAATACCAACCTTAGTTAATATTAGTGTTTAAATTTCCTATTTTTTTATTTTATTTTATCCAACATATTGTTTAAGTCATCTAATTTTGTATAATGTATCGTTACTGTAGGTACTACAACAGGCGTACTAAGCTCACCACTACCAAATTCCAACAACAGAGGTATAAAATTATTTTAATAATACCCCCATTTAACACCTCTATATATAGAGACGCAATCATATCAATGACGGGAAACTGCAGATGCAATGGAATGGAGGCGCACCTAAAATATATCTTCAGTATTATATAATTTGAAGAATGGCCAATAGAATTACGCCATCTACTTATATCTATGAATACAAAACAATGCAATAAATCATCACCTGAACCATCAATTTACTTCCAGCTAAAATTGAAACTAGACTTCGAAACTTTTTAATGGGCAACGCGATTCCAGAAAGTAGACCAAATATAACGTTAGCAGCTACATCAAACCCGATACGAAAAGATTTAAAATTTTTCCAGGCACCAAAAGATACCAATGGAATATTAGGTAACGTCAAATTTTCCAGTGATCGTAAAAATAAATAAACACGAAACCTGGTGAATGGTGGGAAAATGGCGACACAATTAGAAATAAGTCGTAACAAAGTAATGTAATACTGTGTTAGGACAATTTGACTGGCCCTGCTGGTGGTTTTGGCCCCGAGGGTTTTTTTTATCCAAGCAGTCACTATTGCTCCAGTTACTCTTTCAAGAACACATGATACCACTTCCCATTATGGAGTTCACAAAGCTAACAAACTTTTGTAGTACTATTGTACACTACCTAATGACCAACGACTATAAGGTTATTAGCATACAGATGCTTTTTTCCCATTGCACGCCGACGTCATGTTTTATAATGATAACAACAGCATGATCATCGTTCACTAGAAATTAAGTTTTGATTGTACGGCTTTAAACAAGTATTTGTCACCCATGACAGTAAGCCAATAATGAAATTAAGATTAGTAAACAAAGCATCATCCACTTAATCTTTCAAAGTGAAAACAAAGCCATGTACTAATCAAACAAGTTCAATACTTTATTTTGACACAAGTCGAAGATGTTTTGGTCCTTTGAGCCAAGCTGATTCAGTTTCACGGTACATGTACTAATATAAATATTTTATAACCTCTAACCCAAGCCTCTTAAAATTTCAGCTCACATTTCACCGTCAAATCCCATGTCCCTACCTCCAGGTGCTGTTGGGTCGAATACTAGAAATACAAATACGTTTAATCCTATGCTCGGATCACAAAGTGCTATTGGACAGAATACTGGAAATACAAACACGGTTAATCCTATGCCCGGATCAGCGGGATTACTACTTGGTCTCGATTCAGGGATGCCGCAATTTAGCACAATGATGTATGATATGAAAGCTAGTAGAATGCTCAGTATTATGAGCCTGTATGAACAGGAGGGTTGCATTAATCCCGTCACTATCCTCCCACTAAAGTCCAGATTGTTCGCTAAGAATGCTTTAGCTAACGGCTGCCGAGATGTCAACGCCGACCTGTTGTGTTCTATGACACAGGTGAGCCTACCAGGTAATACCCCGGCAACAGTCAGCATGCAGATGATGACCTACAACTTGATGGCACCTCAGACGCGTCAGCAAATGGCAACGATGATGAACAGCATGTCGCCTAATAATGGCATGTTGCTATTGCCGAGGGGAGAAGCAGGCGTCAGTCCAGAAATGACAGACCATCTAGCAATGACTAGACGGAATATATTCCCCCTGAGATGTCAAGAAATAACCATGCCTTTAACAATGTTTAAACTTGGAACATGTTGTCCAGGACCTGGTAAGTATGTTTTTTAGAACAACTGATACAGTAATTTTAATAGCTAGTTTGTTAATGAACTACTTTGTATTTGATCCTTAATTACCAAGGACAAATATGGATAATAACATTGTGTATGTTACATTATCTTGTTTCTAAATAACCTTGGACACTGTTTCGTGCTAATTTTTGTTTTTGGTGATAACAAATACATAATAATTATATTTTATTTTTTGTGTTTTCAGTTGTAATACCCGAAGCAGTTATCATGAGTTCAATGTTGACAACGGGTGGTGCTTAATCATTTGCAGATTAGTAATTTATGTGCCAACATTTTGTAGTATCATATTCATATGTATATTATTGTTCGCAAGGATCCTCTTGAAGTTCTACAGAGAAATTGTTTAAAGTATAATGTAAATATGAAAATAGATATTATTTATTTTTTTATGGCATTTTACTATAATCATCAAATTCGCGACAAATACATTAATATAGATTTAATTCCGAGATTTACCTTGCTCTAATTGTTTACCGACAGACGTTATTCAGGTTTCTAGAAATACCTTCATTTATATTTATTTTAAATATATCTGTTAGTTGATTAATTACATATTCTAGACGTAAATAAGTTATGGTCGTAGTCGTTAAAGTATTATTTACTATCATTATGACTACAAATATACAATGCAAAATATTTCTGGTCGTACTCGGACTTCAAGGTAAACGGCATTATATTTATCGTGTAAAAATTTAAATAAATTCAGCAATTATAAGAAGTCAGTATTATGATTATCATAGTCTAGAAGACATTCCATGTCAAGTTGACCATGTAATCGGGGGACCCCCTCAGAATATTATGAATTTTTTTTTAGATTATGTAACTGAGCTTTTAATTTTTGGGGCTGGCCTGAGGGGACTTTGTCTCACGGGGGCGCTTACTTGGTCTATGAAATGCCATTTCCTGTACTTTGCAGAATTCTGATGGTCAGAAAATACTTACAACATGAGTAAAATACGTTTTAATTTCTACTGGGATTGAATATGCAACAAGTAAAATTTCTTATGTTCAATAATCGCCTAAACATTTCATAATTTAAAGCTTTTTTTTTACGTATATCTGAAACAAACTATGCTTCTACTAATATTTTTCGTATGACAATCAAGAATATATTTTGAATTATCAAAATCTTCGTAACGAGCTCACTCAATTTCTTAGACCAGCATACTCATAACAGGAATTTTTTTCTTTCAAACATGACAAGTTGACTAGGTTATTTCATACTTATATACCGTTGCAATTTAGGAGCACGGATTCACACAAACAAGTCGCACTCTAACCCGATTCCGAACTTTTCGTTTTTCTCATAAATTAGTACAGGTACATTAAAGTCATATTCCTTCCTTCAAATGTTTATAATGTTCATATCAAAATATCATAATACGCCAATATCGCAAATTCAACTTCAAAATTGGCAAAATGTATAATGTACAATGGACCTGTGGCCTCTTTACAAATAAAGAACTATTCCTATTCGGTACGTCTCCTTTTGATTTTTTTATGTCGCGGTGAAGGACTTTGTCACTGAATTTGCCATTTTTCGATTGTCTGTATTGCTCTGTAATTTTGTTGGGCAGTGAGTGATTTACTGTTTATTAGCTTAGACAACTTACCAACACCTAGTCACAGATAAATGAGAAACCACAACAAATCTGTATTGGCTTCTTCATCTTCTTTTAGTGATTAATGTCCGCTTCCACCGATAGTGATATCGTAGACAAGTTGTCTAATTTGATAATGCTTATAGTGCACGCGCAGGCGTCTATCATGTGGGAGGAAACCACAGTACCCGTTGTAAACCCATGAGGTTGAGAAGGCAGCCTTATTTCCAAGCCACATACACTCACACCAGGGATCGAAACCACCACCGCAAGCCAGAGGTGACCGTCCAGCTAGAGCTCAAAGGGCGACACCCTAGACCTCTAGCCCCCCCCCCTTCCCCTGAATACATTAAATTTTATTTATATTTGCCTTTAACAAATACATAAAACTGCATCAACAGAAAATAGGTACTTACCGGTCACAATCTAGTGCAAAGCGGTTAGCGGTTTACATGATTTTTTGATGGATTACAATTACATATTTTCATCAAGATAGTCTTGCTCGTATTTGTAAGAGTACAATCAAAACTATCACATCTGATTTATATAGTGGGGGCAGGTCAATCTGCGGATAACACACGAGTGTTTATTCTTGGTATGGTTATATGAGCATTTTGTCCTTGAAGGTAAAAGTTTACGTGCTTTTTTCCAGTCCGATCCAAACTCGATGTTCTTGTCATAGGCGAGAAAAGGCGTGTTCTTGAATCTTGAAATTTACAGTAAAATCGAATGGTATGTCAATATGTTCAGACAGATTGTCTTGAATAATACCACCCTTTCCCCACCATCCAATTCCCCGCTTCATCCAGCCCTTACACATTACACACGAGAAGAGGTAGGGACTTTATTAATTATTGAGTACACCTCCACCCCTCGTACAACTGGTAAATCTTGAAGACAAACGAGTACTTAGTATGAAAATCACTTTAATTCTACTGGGAGGATTAGGTTTGGGCAGACATATACCAGATGCCTTTCAATTACATTGACAATTAATAAACAAACAATTAATCATTGAAACCAATTGAGATCTTTATCAAGCCTCCTTAATTGTTGTTGATAAAGGTTTCAAATGCCCTTGTAATTATAGGTCAAGTCATAGTCTAATTAATAGAGAATTAGCTTTAACCGTTGTCTTTTTATGAACACAAAAACGGCGCCGATGACGTAAATCACAGTCATTTCAATTATGATAAATAACTACAAGCACAAACACACCCACATAAATAAAATATATATTTATATAGTTTTTTTTAGCCCAGGTCTTTTGTCCTTTTATGCCATCACTTCTGATAACCGTTTCCATTTGTACATCATTTTAGCATTTTTTATTGTAGACGAGTTTACTGCAAATAAAAAGAAACTATATTAAGTTAATAATTATTCATTTGTAACTAATTTTATATTATTATCAAAGATGGCATTAATAGATTCACAACGCACAAAAGTCTCATTTAGCTTTCCTATATATCGCATAGCACGTGTTCTTGTATATTGAAATTCAGCTATATCACAATTATATTACTGCTTTACTTGCAAACAACAATGTTTTCTGGCGAAATATTTTGAAATTTTTTTACAACTTGAATTCCAACTGTCACACTTTTCTCGTCAGACTTAAAAAAATCCCAAACTCTGTCACACTGGGTTTCGAACCTGAGACAATTTAATCGAGAATCCATGAGAGTCCCAACCTCTCGATCACAAAACTAAGAGCGTACGCCACCAGCGCCCCACCGAAAATATACCAAAATACAGGTGTTGACCTGCATCTATTAAAGTAGGACTGAATTTAGACCGCTAATTTCCAGAAAAAAGGGCCTTTACATATATTATTAATACAATAACTGTATCAATATATTAGGTTCAACGATGTAATTCAAAGGTTTTATTAGGTATTAAGTCAATGGGTTTGTTGTCAATTTCAGACAAATTAATAGACTTTCACAGTTTTAATTCAAATATATAGCAAACTTTTTACGCTTCAAAATAGTTTTCCTTTAATTTAAAGGTCATTGAGATCCACTACCTGATATATAACTGAATGCCGACATTGAATCTAAGACTTGAATCTGTATTATGTATTATTATATTTTTTAACTATTTACAGCAAAATTCATAATTACCCATGTAAGGACAGCACATTCCGATTATGCCCACTTGTACACATCTTTTAGTTGGCTTTACATATGGGCAGATATCCTTTTCAGCTGTGCATCCAGATGGCATAATTGTTCTTAAAGGTGATTCGTTGTCAAAGGCAGCGGTGCATCCTAATCGTTTTGCTATTTTCATGTCTTGTAACGTTGCCAAGCCTCTCTGTAATAAGGGCACGCGGTGTGCTAACATTTTCAACATCCCTCCCCGGGGCCCAGCTAACATTTTGGCTAATCCATGAAGTTGAGAATGGCTAACTATGAAAAAAAGTGAATATATATGAAATATATTAATAAAAATGAATGAACATACAACTGCATCATAATATACAACTGTTGAAATAATTTAAGGGATTAAAAATCATCTAAATTTACTACAATATAATTGAAGCACATTGTGCATACCGGTTGCATTATAATACACAACTGTTGAAATAATTTAAAGCGCAAAGGTTTCTTAAAAGAATGAAATCACCTAAATTTACTACAATATAATTAGAAACACAAACTTGAAGCATATTGTGATATTCCTAATATTTACCAATAACGTAAAAAATGACCATGTGTATAAATCACAAATTTGATTAAAAACGTCTTACCTGATAGACCTGCTATTAAAATACAGAGTAGGAAGTAATGTTTTAATTCCGCCATCTTTTTCTCTGTCTTGGGTTAGTGTTAAGCTTGCCAGACTCGGCATTGAATGAGACCCTCAGACCGGATAACCGGCTATTTATTGCGAGTCGACCATGTCAACGTTTAACCCGCGTTTAGAGAAAATAAATACAAGAAAAAAAAATGACCACGTGATTCAGAAAAAATCTTAAGACAGCAAATGACTTATGTTTTCGGCCGAACAGTTTTATATTATTTATCATATGTCCTTATAACTGGTATTTTAGCTTATATATACAAACCAACAGAACATACCTTTGAACATGATTCACCTTTGAAGTTTTGCTAATACCCAATTTATGGTTTATTTTAACACTTAAGGTCAAGAAGTTGTAATTTATTGGTGTAATTTAGATTTTTTTTTTCAAACACGTTTGAAATGTACATTATGATCAGAAATTAAAATAAAAAATGTTTCTAGATATAAACAGTTACCTACATGCACTAGGTTTTTTTTTATTGGATTGACAATCTGTCAGGAATTAAATCACCTCCAAATCGAAGGTTCGATCTGTTATGTTCATTCATTTGCTTGATAAAGACGAGTGGGTAATCGTCGAAACGTTGCTGCATGTCAATTAACCGTAAATTGTTATTCCATAAATAGTTGTAGTATGTTACTGTTCAATTACTAAATGCCACTTAAGGAATGTTCATTCTGTCAATGTCATCGTAACTTTTTGTCGGTCTAATTTACTATGTAAGTTTGATGACATCGCACTAAAATTTATGCAATTAGAGTTTTAAAAAATTAAGAATCATTTATTTAGTTGACATGCCCGTAAAAAAATAACTTGGCGGTTGGAATGCACACTGTATGGCGTATGACCGCCTTCATTAGCCCAGTTAGACGTTAAACCCCATTTCATTCCATTTATTTAGTTAAAAATAGGTATGTGTATCGTGCTCGAGGTAAGTCATTCTTAATTCTGGTACAAATTCCAATTTGACAATGGGGGGCGGGGGGGGGGGGGGTGTGAAGACAGCCATAAGTAATCCGCCTCTACCCCCGATCCTCGAAAAAAAGAGAGCCTGCTCGCCAACCAAATAGTAATAAAAAATCACCGACATACCCGGTAATTAACGGTATGTGTATTTCATAGGATGTTGTCCTGTATTTTAAAACGATCTATTAGATAAATTAGACTTTACGTCATGACTCTGACAGAAGCAAATTCATTTCATTACGAATTTAACATGACTTTTACTAGCCCGCTCTAGACATCGTGATGCGTCTGGCGTCAATCTTGGCTTTGGTCGACGAATTTTGTCATTAAACGTTATTTTTTATCATTACAAACTATAAGTTATTATATAACGTACTTCTACAAAGAATATGATCACTCTTTAAGGAGATGTTGACATATTATTTATGGCCTTAAGTGATGCACTTGAAAATTACATCTCCCCGGAATATTATTAATTTGAAAAATATTTTTTTTTCAAAAAGGACCTCTAGATAACATAAGATTGATTCACGTGTTTTTCCATTCAAATATTATAGACAGAGCGGGGGCTCATGCCTTGGCAATCAACACTTTTCCGACTGTAATTTTACAAACAAATTTCGCAATAACATTAGCTCACCGACGTGATTTAATTAAATTAGACAACATCTACACAGAGCGGCCCCTATTCTTTCATTTGAAATTATTAGTTTAAATTGGGACACAGAGAGAACGTGCGTTTACCGACATTAACCGAGGGAAACGGAGAGACACGAAGAAGTTAGGCATGCGTAGTCAACCAGGCCCCGTACAAACCCGGCATTGAACCCATGGCATGCATAGATAACAGACCTTACGATTTATATAGCACGGGTTAGCTAAACGAATCGTGCTGTGAATTAATATGGGCCATTTGTACATATATATCAGAAGCAGTCATTGTAATGTGAAACAACCATCTCTTTTAATATCAATGAAATTGAAAAAAATGATCAGAATTTTTAAGCGTGTGACACATATACGGCCAAGTGTCGAATTGATTTCTGGTTTGCACATACCACTTTATACGTGATCGTTTCAGTATGCCATTTAACGAATGCTTTCTCAGATTACTCCACAGGCGAATAGTTCTACAGAACCGAGAAATGAAACTGGAATATTAATGTGTTAGTTCGGACATGGCCCAGATGTCAGTTCTGAAACCCTTTGGGGTTGATTAGCGACACAATTTATTATTTTCTTGTCCCGGATTCTCGTATGTTGACAGGGTTAAATATAGCTGTAAATATTTTTTTAAAACTCATCTGGTCAGTTGCCCTGTTAACCGTACATTTTGAATCTCTTAATCCGCTTGATATCCATATATCATGCAATCCTATAGTGTCCGTTCGTATTAGCCAACCCCACTGGATCGAGATAATTAAATTTAAACAAGCATCTGATAGATTTAAACAGAAACAAATTGTTGCTATTCTGTTTCGGTGGTGATTATAGAGATACGTTCAAATGCACTGATTAGGTCCGATATGACAGGCGGATAGAGACCGAGAAAGGTCAAATTTGTTTTTGGCATTTAAAACATAATCGCATCTAGATTTTCTACTAGATATGGTAAGGCAGTGATATTGCAGTTACCTATCTTTGGCAAACAAATTAACCCGAAAAGATTTATTCTGACTGGAAGTGGTTACTAAGCTCACAATAAATAAAATGAAAAGGGGAAATCCTTAAAAGTCTACGTGAAGTTTGAGCGACTCGATTGTTCGTTAGAATTAAAGTGATAATATCAATCTTACAAAGAAAATAAATGTATATAATTTTTAATAAAAGGACTACCATATTTAAAAAAATTCTCCTGATTTCCGAAAATTTTAACGCTGGCCCGCTTAGATTAAAGTATTTCGCGCAAACTTTCGTTAAACTCACCAAGACCTACTAACTAATCAAAATATTTTATTTATACGACTCGTTAAAACGTGCATATCTCGGCGATGGCTAGGAATATTTGCCATATATTTTGCATACAATCTAATTTAACTAGGAACTTTAAAGGACCAAATGTTGAGATATCCTGCTCAAGTGAAGTCTCTCGGCTTATTAAACTCGGAGACGGGACATCTTTAGACATTTAGACTTCTCATAAACCACTTGTAATGTGATAAATTAAAATGACAAAATTAGCCACATAAGGACAATCCCAGGGACAAAGGTAGAAATCGTCATTAAACCATATATGGAGATATTTAACATTATACTTCTTGACCAAACAATGAACAATTAAACACTCTTAGACTGATGTAAAAATAAACTTCTATTCTAGAAATAGTCTAATTCCGGACTTTCGTTAGAGTTAAATAACATATTGATGCATATCTCTTGTTTGTCTTAAATAAAGTGATGACATGACAATAAAACGTTAATTAAAAACTTTATTAAAGAAATGGGATCGGATCATAAAAAGTATTCATTTCCTTGTCAGATCTTACAACAGCCTCGACATATATAGAACCAATTTGATAGGTCCGGTAAACACCACAGGAATGAAAAATGTACTTTTCAATAAACTAAGTAGATAATGATATATATGTACATCGAAAAGTATATCGTCTTGTATGTGACAAATCGAGATACATGTTACAATGGATTATACACCAACCTGGTTAATTTGTTACGTACTTAGAATATGTATTTGTATGAAAATTGCTTGCATGATGATTAAGGCAGGGTGGGATTCATTATAAAGATTTCTTTGTATGTCCAACGGTCCGTCACACATTTTGGATCATAATTTCTCTGCTACTAATTGAGATAGAGTGTTCGAATTAAGTGTCAGGTTAGTGTCTGACACCTGTGACGAAATGTAAATGCGATTTGTCGGTGCAATGGAACATAGTAACTTTGATTTTATTTAAGTGAGATAGATACAACTTGGTGTTTAGAGCAACATTTTCTGCTCAGGTTAAAGGACATTATTGGTGTCAGTCATTATTACAGATGTGACAGGACTGGGTAAACACATTCCAAATATAATTTCACCAGAGATCATTGCTACGGGAGATGTGTAACGAACATTTGAAGAAACCGGAAATGACGCCAAAAATGACAAACATGAGTTATCTTTCTATATAACTGACTGAAGTAATGAGCGATAACAGACACACGGTCGAATTTCATATCACTGATAATTCCGTTGAAGATAAAAGGGTGTAATATGAGACTGTGAGAGAATATCTGACAATTCAAAAAAGAATTGGCTGTCACTAGATAAGACAAAACGAGAAAAAGATCCCAGGGAGGATCGACGATTGTGATGACCATTTTGCTGTAACAACGGTTAGAAGTAATAGCTGTTATAAAAAGTGTTATTAATAAGATCGATCGTCTGAAATGAAGACATATCAAAGCATCATGGTGTTGACTATATACATCCACTGACAAGAGAATTCTCTATAGTAAGTGTGATATATGGATCGAAATCTTATGGCCACAGAATACATCATCAGCGATATCTCAGCCGGATACCATTATTTTTTAAACATTAGTACTGGTGATTTCTTGTAAAACATAACACCTAACTAAATAAAATCGCTTACATATATATTTCCTCTCGTTTTCTGTGTCATTTTTTTTGGGAAAGTGCCTTCGCTGTGTCTTTTTGTTTAACATTCCTGTCGTAAGTTTATTTTCTTTCATTGATTTTCTTCTGCGATAAGCAAGCATAGTTACTTTAAAAAAAATAAGACAAACAAGACAACGGTTTAAATGAATGAAAAAATCAGTAACTAATCTTACTTAAACCATTATGGATCATACTTTATCAAATATAGTGACAGTATGTACTGTATTGTAAATCTATTGTGTTGTTAAACAACATCGAGGTCAATCCCGTGTAACATACAACATAAACTTGAAAGTAACAATACGAATAAATGAATGAATGAAAAATTACATAATTAGATCACAATAAAAGAAAATAAATTATAACAATATCATGATCTAAAGGCTGTAGTCCGCGGGAAAGTTTTAGGTAGACGGTAACCTTTAAAAGTAAAGGAGGAGAGAGGGTAGGGGTGGGGGTAACGCTTTACATAATAAGATCCGTCACTGAGTCAATTGACGTGGTTTTGATTCCCAGCTGGTAGGTGACAAGGAGTAGGATCGCATGCCCAACCTCGTAGATTTTTTCCGGATCCACCGGTATCCTACCACCACTTAGGTCCCGA